AAATAATTTTTAGCTTTAACAGTGGCGAACGTACGGGTATTGACTTCGATATTTTTTAAGAAAGAAATGGTACGCCAATAGTTTTTTCCAAATAAAAATTATTTTTGAATTTCCCGTTCAATTTAAAACAAATGAGCTCTCTTGAATTGTTTTCCTTCGATGCGCCATTTTTGAGTAAAAAAATAAAAACCGTTCTATTGTCCGAGAAAATTGATGTAATACGTAATTGAAGAATGCAATTTAGCAATAAATATCTAGTTGCTATGGAATATGTCACTGGCTTTTGACATCTGACAAGTCTCTGTTATTCAAATCTCGCTGTGACATAATTTCCATTATTTAGTTTTTACAATCTTGTTAATAATGGTGAATTATTCAAATGCAGAAATGGCGTAAATGGATTACGTATATGCCCTTGCTGACGGTAATGGTGAGCAAGCCAGACGGATTCATCACCAGAGATATCCCGATCGTGCTCTGCCAGATAGTCGAACCTTGTCTAATATTCATCGTCGTCTTGTTGAAACTGGTTGTGTCCGAAAAGGAACATCTGAAGGTAGACCTCTAAGTGTGAGAACACCTGAAATTGAGGAAGCAGTGCTGCACGAAGTCGAAGAATATCCTGAAACCAATACGAGGAAGATCGCTAAACACTTAAATATTTGCCATCAAATTTTAGTGGATCTTTTGTTATATCCTTACCATATTTTAAGAGTACGGGCATTACTTCCCATTGATTTTCCAACGCGTGTGAACTTTTGTCAGAGGTATCTTCATAAAATAAAACTCTAGGGGATAAGTTGAACCCTTTGTTTTTTTTCGTGAGCACTTTTCCGCTTTTCCCCAGCAACAGATGTAGAAGGTCCAGGTGATGATAGAGACTTGGGAAACTTTTCCTTAGGAATAGTATCATCTTTTAGGGTTGTAACCCAAAAGGATATTTTTCAAATTATCCTTATAGGCACTTTAACAAAAGTGCTTCGAGCAAACCCTAGCGCTGTACCGATTTTTTGCTAAGGTTTTGGTCTTCAGGAAAACTGTGGAACTTCATGTCTTTGCAAGGATTACATTTAGATTGGTTGTCGGAATTACATCCCACAACAGCACACCGCATTTTTATCAATCACACAGGGTATATAAAGTATGTATAACTGATACAAGTCACAAAACCACCAACAAATCGTAATATTATGGAGTACTATCCACGACATACGTGCACTGCAGAAACGTTACGACAATCCTGCCGCTGGTATCGTGTGTATCGTGGTACCACAGGTACAGACTGGTAGATCACCATCATTCCGGCATCGCCGGACAAGCAATAAGGTAACCAAGGTCGTCTGTATTTACTTGAATATTGAATTATAATTGTGATGAGCCTCAACGTTCAGGGGTAAAACATACAAATATTCAGAATCTTATAAACAAGAATGGCAAAACAAGTTTCAATGATGGTTACAAAAGAGTTTGTAGAGCGACCGGTATGCTCATTGTACAAGTTGTAATCCACATAATTTTAGTTAGCAAGAACCAACTAAACAAATATCCCGTATTTCCGTAAGAAGTGGAGTAGAATAATCACACAAGTAAATACAAGTGCTATCGTTCTCTCAGCCTCCCCGACGGGGGATCAGAAATCGGTGCATACCATACATAAATCAAATCCAAGCGAATAACCAAAATTTCCGTATTGTGTACCGCGGTTATAATATGGTTCAAGATGACACACGGGATGATGACGTCAGTTACTCGAATCGCTTGAACGCGTTGGTTTTAACCGCGGTTTGTTTCAAGTTGTTTATTTTAGAAAAGCGCGTATATAATTTCTGATTATTTTTATTATTACTTAATAATCGGTGCTTTTTCGGCTACAACGGGGTATGGAAAGTTGGAAAAAAGAAAACTTTCATAATATTAATGGGAGGAATGTTTTTTTTCATAAATTTTTTTTTACTGATGGAACCATGGCTTTGTAGCTATGATAACTTTCAATTCTCTAAACTTTTCCGCGTGTCAAAGACAATATTTATTGATTTAGCAGAAATGATGAAAAAGCGATGAAAAAAGATATTAACAAAACTGTATACAGGTGGACATCATACAGTGAGTTTATATGGCCATATTTTAATATTATTGTGGTATATGGCTATATAGAATACTTTGGTAAGCGTAGGAACTAGATTTTAAAGTGTCTCCAACAACAGTAATGATTATAACTAATAAGGTGCTCTCTTATGCTAAAACTGAAGTCAGCCTGTATCAAGTTTCCCAAAAATGAAGCTGAACCACAATAAAAATATCCAATACCCGGCAAAACTCTAACTTGCCACATGTCAAATAATAACCACAAATATAAAACTACTCCTAAGTTGATTAAATACCACAATTTTGCGGTGATAACTATGACATATAACAGCTGATTCATGACGTCACGGATCTTATAACCAAACTGATAACCACACTCCCTTGAACGGATCGGTAAATACCAATCCAAAATGGTAAATACCACTTTCATTTGGTTATCCGCTTGAACTTGATTATACTCGTCAGAAACTGAAAGGGAAAAGTTTTGCTTGACAACGGTGCATGCTGCAGATAGTGTAGGTCCCTATACTGCAATGCTTGACCGATTATTCAATAGAGAGCGCTACATGCATACAATATGTTCGACATAGAATTCGATACGTAACGAAAATGCTTCGAAGTTGGTTCGATATATAACAAGATAACTTCGAGAAAGAAGAGCTCTGTATAGAAATTGTAGTGCATAAATGATTTCTAGAGGGCCAAAGCTTAACAACTGTCACCTGCCATTTTGGTCATATTTGAAAATTCCCGAATTCCGTTGCACTGCTAACCGTCGCCGTGTAGTGAAATCAAACGAAAAGATAGTGAAAAGTGATAAACTGGATATTGAAATGGAGTTTGAGTGGCATAAGGTAGAATTTAAACTTCCGTTATTTATCTATGTTGTTTAAATTGTAGCAAATTGGCCTGCAACGGAATCTAATTTCTTCGGGTTCACTTTGTATCACACCCATAAACTTACAATACAATAAAAGCAACATAGGAGTGTTTGACGATTCCATTAAAATGCTATTTTTCTAAATAAACAGTAATTTTATGTACATTTTGATAATGAATCTTTTTATACGCCGTACCTTGACACAAAAATTTCTTTCTTACATGCTAAGAATAGCTTGGCATATAAACATCACACATAGTCTTGTTTTTGTTGATTTGTTTTTTGTATTCCATCGATCGCTACATCTCGAAAATCTAAATCTCGGCATGTTTCGATAATTCTTGAAAATATAAAATATACTAAGTGACATATAAATCCGAACACCCAGTTTAAATGGTTTTATTTTAATAAAATTTTGTATAAGTACTTAATGAAGCATAATAAGTAAATGATAAAAATTTCAAAATGATCGCACTGCTTTAAAGCCCTTTGACCTTTAATAATGTGTGGATGCACCCTGATGTGCTACGCATTCTCCAACGCGCCTAGGCATGCTTCTGATCAGGTGGTCAATGTCCTCCTGTGGTATCTCATTCCAGGCAACCACCAACTCCTCTCGAAGTGCTTCTAGAGTCTGAGGAGGACGTTGCAAATTGAGCAATCTCCTACCCATCATATCCCACACGTGCTCAATTGGGGATAAGTCGGGAGATCTTGGTGGCCATGGTAACTATGTGACATCATTATGTTGAAAGAAGTCTATTGTGACTCTTGCAACATGTGGTCGGGTATTATCTTGTTGGAGAGTTGGATCTGCCAGGGTGTCAAGATAGGGTAAAAGATGGGGTTCTAGAACTTCGTGGATATAACGCTGCGCGTTCATGTTACCTCTGATGAAGATTAAAGGTGACCTGGAACCACAAGCTATAGCACCCCAAACCATAACTCCAACAATGTGATGAACATGTCTTTCAACAAAAAACTGTGGATTCTTCCTCTCACCACGTCGCCTTCTAACCCTGGCACGACCATCGTGCATGCCTAAACAAAATCGAGACTCGTCACTAAAGACAATACTGTTCCATTCCTGATCCCGTTGTCTGCACCACTCAAGGCGATTACGTCAGTGTTCTCGAGTTAAAGGGAGGACCCAGTGTGGCCGGTATGAAAACAAGCCAAAACTTCTCATTCATCGGTAAACACTTCGCATGCCAATAGGTCTTCCGTGTTCTGCAAACCATTCATTTGCAATGGACCTGGTAGTGGAGAAACGGTCCCTTAAGACCAATAATCTTAGGCGGCGATCTTCACGGTCTGTTGTTCTACGGCGGCGTCCAGTGCCCCTTGCTCTTTGCGTACGGCCTTCTCGAAGCCATGCCTGACAACACCTAACCACAGTGTCTACACTTCTTTGCACTCTAACTGCAATTGCCCGAAAAGAAAGTCCAGCTTCCCGAAGTCTCACTATACGGCCCCTATCAAACTCACTAAGTTGACGAAATCGTATAGGTCTCCGTACTCTAGGCAACGTAACCGATCGTAAAGGATGTCAAGAACCAAAATCCGCCAACGTTGATTCTTTACTGCGGCTGAAATATTCATTTTTAGAGCGTTAGTGAATTAAAAAAAAGCAGTATAAAAACCGGAATGTCCAACTGATAAGGCTGAACATTTTTTCACTTGTTATTTACAGTAAGATACATACATTCACCAACTTTTATTAAAATAAAACCATTTGAACTGGGTGTTCGGATTTATATGTCACTTAGTATAGAAGACGTATCTAGAGGGTCAAACATTTCTCGAGGTGTTGATAATTTTGGGGTGCAGTAAAAAAATGAGAGTTCATTTTTTTATGTTATGAAATTTAAATTCATTTTTTTAAAGTACTGATTTCTTTAGCTTTTTTAGGTTGATCAATTTTGAAATCTGAAAAAAATGTGTTGTATATCCACAGAATCACCATACAAAAGCTAAATCACAACAGATTATATATTATATCTTTATATTGTATTATATAGCTTTCACATTCTCAAAATATCTTCTATTTGAACAGAATCCCTTTTCGTTTGGATAATCTATAGAATAATATTCATTTTACAGCCACTGAGTTATTTTTAACTTGCCAAAAATAGAATACATATGAATACTTTTTGTGCTGTATTTTGGGTTTTATATTTGGCAGATAAGTACATTCTGGGATGGTTTCATTATGCGACTAAAATTTGTGTGTATATCATAGTTTTCAGCTCTCTCATATAAATTGCTGACTCTGTGTGCATTTTTGATAAATGTGATGTGAATCTCTGAAGCATCAAATTAAAAGCTTTATCTATTATTTGTGTTAACATGGATCACGTTACAAATATGTTGAGGAAATTAATTCAGGTAATATTGGTTCATTAGTAGCTCCCTTAAATGTGTTGCTTATGTGTTCTTCTTGTGCAAAAGTCCAAACTAGGAATAATCTTACTTTTGATTTCTATTGAAATGCATTGTTATTTTTAGGTTTCATCTACTCCAAAGGAAAATGCGCACCCATCTATTGACTGTAAGTTAAAAAATATAAATCAATTTTCATTATGAATAACCTATATATACATAGAGCTTTTCCAACTAAACATCTGTCATTTCACATGGGACAAAAGAATTTAGAAAGATAATTATTATCTAAATACATGTCATGGAACCTTCTGTTCTCATGATAACAAATCTATTAATTGTTTATGTCATAACAGCATAACAACATAATATCAACAAAATGTGTGTTTATAAACTTTCATTTTGTCAATAAGTTTTTCCCATGTCATGTTGTAAATCATACCCTTGACCTAAAATGACATTTGAAATGTCAGTGTCAGTCTCTTTGATTTTAATGCAGTCATAGTTGCTCTAAGGCATACATGTTTATTAGGCAAATAATTAGGCAGATTATCTGCTAAGAAATATTTTCTCCATTGTAATTCTGAATCATAAGATGGAAATTAATAACATTTAAATTTCACAGCCCAGCATATTCTGTGTTCAAGATCACTCTTGGAGAGGTGAGTTCTTCAGACTTGTTTACATGATGAATAAATACTATGTAATTATATGTTTCTTTCAGCCTGGTGGTTGATAATTCTGCAAACATCAAATCTGACACATTTAGTGTAAGTTTTTAGACATATAATATAAAGTAACATTTGTCATGCATATTATATTGATTCTTGATCATTAGAATGAGTCATATGGTAGTTGACTAAGGTTACAAGAATATTCCAAAATCTAGGGGCATGATTAATGGCATTCTTTCAAGTCTACATTTTGATAACTATTACAGTTTGTACTACTCAAGTAAATTTGTTAGAAAGTTAGATAAACATCTGTGGTCTTTAAGAGTGAAAACACAACACAGATGGCAAGCTTAGTCATATCACATATTAGGAATCATAGTAAATTAACAATATCAATATTCCATATTCGGTTTGAGGAGTGAGACAATATTTTAAGGACCTGTGACTTTTTTTAAATCTAAAGCTAATCTTTGAAAAACAAGATAATTTACAATATTTAGATCTATTTATATTAACAAACATTGATTTAGAGTGGTTGAAATTGTCATACTCCTTTTTTGGTATGGAATGTGCTGGAAAAATTAGAGTTCTTAGTTTATAGACTTGCCTAGCTGTAATTTTGTGAACTTTGATGTGCTTGTCCATTCACTATAAAATGTTATTTTAATTTGCTTTCTACAGGAACTAGGAGAGCATGGAAAAAATGATTTGTGCTGTAATGAGGTGTTAGATGACACTATTGATGCAAAAAAATATGAAGAGCTGAATGAAACAGATAAGGAAGCTTATAATCACCTGTTGGTGAGCTTTAGTAGCAGTGGAGCCTCATCTGAATTGAACCATAAAGATTTATCTGATAGTTGTACACAGAAAAGTTTTTCTGGAGAGAACTCAGTTGAATTTAAGCCTATAACTGCAGATTCTCAAGGGCCAAAAAGAGATGTTGGCCCCAACGGCACTGATTTAGTGAAATCTGAGAATGATTTAAATGCAACTTATAGTGGATCTCAAGAATTTGGCTTCAAAACTTTGCACTTGGAAATAGGCTCTGGGTATATAAAAAAAGACTACGAAGCAGCAGAAGATCATAAAAATACTGTGGCAACTTTGACAGATGCTGAAATAAAGTTCAATAGGTTATCACAAGTTGCTAACAGATCATCTGGTTGTCTAGATATATCTTCAAAGCAGTTGGCAGTAGAATCTTCTGAAGGAACTACACAAGCAAATAGTTCTGATATAAAAATAAATAAGTCTCCAGAAATTGTCCACCCACATGTTGAGGAATCAAAACAAGCAATTATAAAATGCAACAACCCTGATGTTATAAGGTCTGCTGGAACAGAATATACAAATGGTTTTGATACAAGCTATAATACTGCAACAGATTCGCCTGTATGTTTATCTTTTGAAGATTTGAATGTCGATATAGTAGAGCAAAAATTTGACAACTCACTAGAAGTTGCAACCAAACCACCTGTATGCCCAGAGATATCTCCAAAAGAAGAGGTTGAAAGTTCCAATACAATAGCAGGTATAAAATCTGAAAACTCACTTGAAGCTGCAATCAGACCACTGGTTTGCGGAGAGGTATCTTCAGAGGAATTGAAGGTTAAACAGTTGGTCAAACCAGAGCCAAAAACCCCATTTGATATAAAGGATTGCAACTCCTCAGAAACAGTAATCACACCACTGATTTCCTTAGAGGTAACTTCAAAGGAATTGAAGGTTAAACAGTCTGTCAGCCCAGAGCCCAAAAACGCTTTTGATATAAATCATTGTAACTCCTCAGAAGTTGTAATAACACCACCTGTTAGCTTAGAGGTATCTTCAAAGGAATTGAAGGTAAAACAGTCTGTCAGCCCAGAGCCCAAAAACGCTTTTGATATAAATGATTGTAACTCCTCAGAAGTTGTAATAACACCACCTGTTTGCTTAGAGGTATCTTCAAAAGAATTGAAGGTTGAACAGTCTGTCAGCCCAGAGCCCAAAAACGCTTTTGATATAAATGATTGTAACTCCTCAGAAGTTGTAATAACCCCACCTGTTTGCTTAGAGGTATCTTCAAAAGAATTGAAGGTTGAACAGTCTATCAAACCAGAGCCAAAAAGCCCTTTTGATATAAAGGATTGCAACTCATCAGAAGTTGCAATTAGACAACCTGTATGTTTAGAGGTATCTCCAAAAGAATTGAATGTTGAAAGTTATGACAAACCAGAGTCAAAAAGCCATTCTGATATAAAATTGAACATCTCACCAGAAGTTGTAACCCTACCACCTTCATGCTTAGAGATTTCAAAAGAATTGAAGATTGAAAGTTCTGACAAACCAGAGTCAAAAAGCCATTCTGATATAGAATTGAACATCTCACCAGAAGTTGTAACCCTACCACCTTCATGCTTAGAGATTTCAAAAGAATTGAAGGTTGAAAGTTCTGAAAAACCAGAGTCAAAAAGGCATTCTGATGTAAAAGTGAACAACTCACTAGAAGTTGTAACCGTAATACCTGTATGCTTAGAGGTATTGTCAGAAAAATTGAAGGTTGAAAGTTCTGAAAAATCTGAGTCAAAAAGAGTTTCGCACATAAAATTTGAAAACTTGCCTGAAATTGCAGTCAGATCACCTGTATGCTTAGAGGTATCTTCAAAAGTTGAGAGTTTTAACGAACCAGAACAAGTAAAGAATTTGGATACAAAAGTTGACTCGGCGTTCGATGATGCAAAATCGGATGTATCTTCTTTAAAATTAGAAAGGAACAAGCAAGCTGCTTCATCATTCACACATGCTGCAGAGAAAGTTGGGCATGATGAATGTTTGAAACGAGAAGATACAATCAAGTTTGATGTGGCAGATTATCAATCGGTCCAAAATCTAGTTGAAGACTCAGTAGCTCAGGTTGAAAAAGACTTTAATGAACCGCGTAGTGTGAAAAAACTACACCCTGTTGGAGAACCCAGACAATCAAGCAATATAAAAGAAGTTATACAGGCTGCTAACTCAGTGGTCAAGGGCAAAACAGTTGAGCAAGCCTATCAGCTCATAGAAGATTTTTTCCATGAAGTATTTGATGGCCCATTAAAAGATAATCGAGCTTCACATAAGACAGAAGTGAACCAGGAACCTTTACAAGCAGACCAAATTGCAGAAACTGAAGATAAAATACCCAGTCAGCCATTATTAGAGGTGCCAAGTCCGAGAACATATAAAAGAGTAAGTTATATATTCATCTTAAACCCATATGCTTTTTACTTTCCACGCATTAATACGCGAAATGATGTCAGCAAAACCTTGGTCGTGACGTTGATGAGAAAATGGTCATAGTTGTTTCTCAAGCGAATGAAACTCTATAAATAAAAATTTTGGGTGTAATGCAGTGGTGTAGAATTCAGCGTCAAGTTAGCGTCAAATTTCGAATCTACGCACCCGTTTTACCCAGCAAACGAGCTTCCATTATCTGAGATAGAACTTTACATCAAAAATTCCATTTTCGTCTCTTTTTGTTACAAAATAGATCGCAGAGGTAGAGAGAAGATTGAGTAATAACAGTCTTCAACCTAGATGGCAACACTGGACAAAGAGAAGTTAAACATTTTGATGGTCAGGTTAGGGTTCCATTCTGGGTCCAACTTTGTTCATAATTTTTATGAATGACATCTTCAAATACTTCACTTAACATTTAGTACTGCTGATGACACTACATCTACCTGCAGTTAAAGCAAATTTGAAGACCTTAGCAAAAAACTGCAGTGAAGTGTCAGTAAAGTCGCTAAATACGGAGCACTCAATAAGTTAATTAGGAAAACCTTTTATAATATGTCCGATTTTATGGACAACGATTTTAGTGATCTGTTTTAATGTATCTAGTATTTGTCATTAACGTTTCTTCATCCTCATACTTTATGTTTATTTTAAATCTAACTAGTGTTCTCTTTTTGACTTGTGTAAATGCTGTTGCATATATAACACCAATGAATATTATTATTATTATAGTTTGGTGACATAAACGTAAAGCCAACACATACAATTTGAATTTTCTTATCTATCCTACTAATGAGAATTTGGGTTAAACAATGTGTAATTTAGTTAGTTCACGGGACCTACCGTCAAGTTGACATCTGAGTCTCCTACATTATGTAGGAAAATTTGAAAAAGACTTTGTAAGGTGATATTTTCATTTTGGTTGTTGCACGCGAATGAAACATACAATTGGGTAATTTGAGATGCTGAACTGTAACATCTAAAAATCACTAGTTATTAGTGCATGAAAGTAAATACTCATACTATCTGACTCCATTCCTCACTATGATGGTTACCTTGACTGAGACTGGATATACATTTTTTAGAAAATGGGTGACATCAACGACACAATGAACGCCTTACAACAAGAAAATTCTGATCTAAAGTTGAAACTCAATGCTTCTCAACAAGAGAAGGCTTCATTAGAGTTAGAAATCAGACAAAAAGAGGAAATCATCATAAAGTCTCAGGCAGAGGCGCTAAAAAGTGAGCAACTGTTCAAGCAAGAGCTGAAGCAGATGAAAGAACAATTGAAAGAAAACTCTAAATTCATTGAAAATGACATTACAAAAGAGCTTCAGGATCAATTGAAAGAAGCAAAGCTTAGGGAAGCAAAACTCTTGGATGAGCTGGCAGAGAAAAAGAATTTAGAGTAAGTACTTTGCAGTGGATTTTTTACAAAAAAGATGGTTCTTTTGAAATGAAATGTGTTACATATATGAATGAAAAATAAAAATTCCGTTTCTTCTTTTTTTTTTCAGAAGAGCTGCAGAAAAATTTCAAGCTGCATTGAAAACTCGTGTCAATGAGAACGTGAAATTGAAAGAAGACCTTGATTCAGCAAAGACGCATCTCGCTAATTTGGAATTCGCATTTTCTGACTTGCATTCGTAAGTTATAATACCGGTTTTGCAAGTATATTTTTCTGATCGTGTTTTGTTGATTACAGAAAATATGAAAAGACAAAGGATTCACTTGAAGGGTACAAAAAGCACATAGCGGAATTGCTGATGAATTTGGATAGCTGTCATCTGAATAGCAGGCAACAAGTCGAGAGATACGAGTCTTTGAAGACGTATGCCAAAAATCAAATTGAAAGGTAAAAACAAACAATAATACTCCCAATTTCTCAATCGGCGGTAAAAAATAAGTCGAGTCCAAAGGTGCTCCGTAATTCACCTCCATGCTATTTGTTTAGGGCTAAGAAGTAGTTTTCTCCACATGGCCTCTTCACTCTATACAAGGTGGAGGTTATTCATGCTCGATGCTGTCCAGAGGATGGCTGTCCGACTGATTAGTGACTCTTCTCTAACAGATAGTCTCGGGACTCTTTCGCACCGGCGATCTAGCCCTACACCGGGCTTTGCTCCTCAGAGTTCTCCTACATGATGGCGCCGTGTGATCTGTCTGCCAGACAGACCCGTTTGACTTCGGCCTCCCATCCTAACCATGTCGAACTTCGTACCGGCCGATACGACCTCTCCTTTTCCCCTAGGGTGTCGAGATTATGGTACAATCTACAAGAGTTATATTTTCTCAGTTCTACTAACCTTCCTCATAGCAGCTGCGGTCCCTTAATAGGGATTACGTAGAAAAATTATAAAGATAAATTAAATATGGCTTTATTGCAAATGGGTTTGGGGTGAAGCATGGGGATTAACCTACGTACGGTTTAGATGTTGGGTATTAATATTTTTGTTCTTTCCAGGGCAAATCGTGAAAATACGGAGGAAAGAGAGCGATACTTGCACGAAAATGCGAACTTACAAGCAATCATCAAACGTCTAGAAATCAAATGTGGTTCTTTAGAGGTTAACTTGTCACAAAAAATTGAAGAGTGTAAAGCTCTGTCAGCATTATGTGACGAAGTCACGGGAAAAAGGGTTTAAGTTGTGATGTTCCTTATTATTATATATTAAACCTGAAGAGGGGTGTTGATTATTGAGATTTTTTTAAGACCATGATTTAGAACAAAAAAGAATATGGCCTATTGATGATTGTCTCATAGAAGCATTACATCATGTAGATTTTTTTAGAAAGTTAATTCAGATTTGATACCTGATCTTGCAATCGTCAGTTATTCTTTATTGTTTTTTTGTATAATTAAAATGTTTTAAAGTTGTTGCGTTTGAGGAATTGCAAACAACTTAGTGTTTTGGAAATGATTTTCAGAAATGCTTCAACTTTAGTAACATGCTGTTCAAGTATTAATTTTGGGCATTCCATTTCGCGGTTCCCAAAAAGATATAAAGAGCTCACTCGCTCTTCATAATGACGGCAATAAGTTTAGAAACTTTGAAATTCGCGATAACGACTGTGTTCACAAGTTTGGGCACAAGCTAGTACATGATGTGTTTCACCAGAGGCAGCTCAAAAACCAGTATATTATTTTTATATCGAAGTTTCTACACTTAACACCTCAGATATATAATTTTCAAAATTTGTCTTTAATTCCCGAATATGAATTTTTATCATTTGGTGATGTTTTTATGTATTATTTTGCTGTTTTATTTATTGGGGACAGATTTTGAAAATGATTCCACCATTTAATTTACTAAACTAATCGTCTTATGAATTATTGCAGATGTGATTCCACCTTGTAAATGAACTTTTGACTGTAAACGAGTATTTTTTCAAAATTATGGGGATATTTGTTGGAATGATTGTGTCAATATCAATTTCGCACCACTGCAAAGAATTTGACAGAAAACCTATGGGGAACGGGATGTAGTAGAATTACCAGAATTTGTAGCGTGTTGTACATTGTCTCTTGACTAAAAGGCTGATGTTATAGGTGACATCATATAGAAAATGAGTTTTCAATTTCAATGTATTCATGGATTCTTTGATCATATTCAATATGCACCTGCTCAACTTTCTGGAAATACTATGCAAAAATGTTGCTTGTGTTCAGTTATGGCCTATATATGTCGTAAAGGATATATCATATACCTATAGCAGTCATGATTTCTATTGTCCTTTATGCTTTGTTAGCATGTCAAATTTGACAAGTGAGACATCACGTCACTGAAACATGTTCAGGGGCTCTTAAACAACTGTAAATTATCAAACTTTGTGCCAGGCCATACTTTACAACATATTGAAACTTTAGCCAATTCTACTGTACCTCCTTTCCTGTGTTTTGTGGCATATTTGTTCCTCCTGATTTTACTTTTTGAGTTAAAAATGTCCCACTTTCTTACAAGTGGTACAAGTGTTTTCTTCAAGATTTCAGATTTTGTTACAAAGTGAAAATCACTACTTACTCTCAACGTCCCTGTTTTATACGTTTCTTAATTTAAAATCGTCCCAGTAGTTTTAGTCGGAAAGAGTTTATTATTTATATTTTTGGAAACTTCATTGTATATATTTATATAACTGTTAATTGTACATAGCATATAACATTGTCATGGAAGTATACATACGAATATTCTGGATTTTTATGTCGTGATATGTTTATTTTCTTATTATATCCACAAAGTTAGCACTCCTGTGATGTTCAATATTCTTTTGAAGACCTTATTTTAAACTTTTTTAAATAATATTTTATTTGCGAATTATTCCAGATATATTCGTCTAGAAATTATGTGAAGTTATGCAAAATCGTGTGTCTACACTTGGTGCTTAACATTTTATTCATATTCCATCACATCATGTAGTACAGGGGTGGATTCAAAGTGAAATTTTGGGGGGGAACAATGAAATTGAAATAATTGGATTTATGATTGTGTCCTTGACAAATAATTTTATTGAAAGTGCAAATATAAATAGCAATTGTATACACTCAAATCAATTTGATGTTTGCCCAATTTAGAAAACAGTTAAAATACTTCTGATCTAACGTAATTGTCATAATTTACATTAAGAAGAATTTTCTGTGTATTTTTTTTCCAGTAATCTTTTGGGAGGGAAGTCTGTCAACCCCCCCCCCCCGTGGATCTGCCACTGATGTAGTATATATAGTATATATACTATCGTTTCATTTTCCATGATTTTTATCAATGAATAGTATCCTTATGTCACCAATACATAGCATTAGACAACTCTTCCATAAAAAGCTGTCATGATATTAACATTACATAAAAATTATTTAGATATGCATATGTACTATTAAAATGTGATCTTTGTTCTGCTTAAATAAGTTTTCTAATAAAACATTAAACTGTTATCTAGCAATATAATAAATTATGCTACAGTAAACTAGTAAGCTAGTTCTCTTATTACTTCCCGTGCCAATCGGCAAGGAACTACTGTAAAATTTTTCGAACGTATGTTTTTGGATGCTACTATTACTACATCACTGCCTTTCTTCAGCAGCAATTCCAGCTTGACATCTTAAAAATGATCGAGGTATCAGACGGGCGAATCTTCCGTTATTAACAAAATCAGCTGCTTCCGTTATTCTGTTCCGTAGCTCAATTAAATTTTCGATTTGCCCTGAGTAACCATTTTCTTTTACCGCTCCCCAGTAAAAAAAATCGAGTGGGCTTAAGTCAGATGAACGCACTGGCCACGAAATTGTACCAGAACGCCCTATCAATTTGCTCAGGTATTCCATATCAAGATATTTTCTAACGGAACGGGCATAGTCCGCCGGGTGGCCGTCTTGCTGGTACCACAATACATGTCTCCATTTTCAAAATATCTACTCATCACTACATAAAATGTTCTCTAAAAATCCCGAATCATTCCGGTGTCTCTGTAACGTTGTTAGACAAAACTCAACTCTTGAAAGATAATCCCGGCATTTTAGAGGAAGGGCGGATTCAGGATTTAGTCTAGGAGGTGGGGGGCGCAAACGATATTTGGGGCTGGTCATTTTTTAACCTCGGTGGAACTTCTAGAATTTATCCTATTATTGCTCCTTAAATCCATTGTGTTATATCTGGTCAAGGCCAGCTCGAAAAAAATAAACATGAACAATGCTCAGAAAGGCAATATTTTATTATATGAGAACAAAATAAGTACGTGGCATTTATAATTAACTAATGTAATAATATCAAAGATTCAAACATAAAAAACTGCATTGCTCTGTTAACCGAAAAAAATAAATAAAACATTCTGGGACTCGGAGATATCCCAGTCCATTCCGCACAAAATAATGTCTTTGATTGCGAAAACGAACATGATACCAAAAAATTTACATTATCGTATGGACACTAGACAAGACAAAGAAGGATGTCTATAGACATCTATAGATCGTGCCTTGAGACCGTTTCCAGACTGCCTATAGACAAATTGCGCAACGGGGTCTACTAGTATGTACTGAGGAATAAGACTCTGAACTGCCCATTAAACAAATCAAGTAAATGGTGCAAAAACTGACACAATCAAGCACTTCTATTATATCAGTAGGTGATAAAAATATCAATAGGTATAGTCAATTATTATTTTTTTGATACCGAAGCAACAGCGCAGGCATAAGCCTAAATGCCGGAACACCGTTGCTGCTATGATGATCCCAAAGAAATTTTGTTGACCCGATTTTTGAACTGCCTGAGGTTAGTAGAACTGGGAAAAGCTTCTCTTGGGTCTGTCTGGCAGGCACATCGCGCGGCGGCATTAGGAGCAAAGCCCGTTGGTGTATCGGTAGAAGAGGGTTAGATCGCCGACGGCCCGTAGGTGCGAAAGGGCCACGAGACTGTCTGTTAGAGAAGAGTCATCGATCAGTCGGACAGCCCTTCTCTGGACAGCATCGAGCATAAATAATGTAGTCGCGGCGGCAGCACCCCAAACGTGTGAGAAATACTCGAGGCTAGGCCTTATCTGGACCTTGTATAGAGTGAGGTCATTCTGTCGCTGTTGACGAGATGAGTTCGTGCCAGATCAGGTACTCGGTGATCTGGACTCCGACTTGTCGAAATGAATGGCTCTTTGGCAGAACTCGACCATCCATCGAAACCGGATGAGCGCTAGGACGCTTTTTATTCGTCAAGGTACAGTACTGTGTTTTGGAAGCATTAAACTGTACAAGATTGTTGCGTCCCAAGCAGTGATAACCTCCAGGTCTCTCGTCAGAGAGGAAGTCGTCGCTAGTCTTCTTTTTTCTAGTTCAGCGGCAGAGATTAGCTTGTCACTCTGAATTCCTGCATGTAGAGTGCTGTCATCAGCGAATCTGTGGATTCTGTTGATCGTGCAGGAAAGCAGGTCGTTGATATGTAAGAGGAACAGTGTCGGAGCCAAGACCGATCCCTGGGGAACACCTGTGTTGACGTTGTGGGATGAAGAGGAGAACCCGTCAACTACGACGGATATCTTGCGACCAGAGATAAAGTCAGCCACCCATCTGTAAAGCTTTTCTGGGAGGCTATAGGATGGAAAATTGCTTAAAAGTACAGCGTGCCACAGCTGATCGAACGCTTTCGTGATGTCAAGAGCAACGACATGAGCCCCACCATCAGACTGGATTAGTTTACTCCACAATTGCGTGACGTAAGCTAGGAGGTCCAATGTGGATCGCTGGTGTCGGAAACCATACTGCCTGTCGCTAATCAAGCTGTGACGTTCGAGTTAGTCCAAAAGCTCACGATTTAGGCACCTCTCCATCTCCTTACTTATAACAGAAAGCAGAGCTATAGGCCTGTAGTTGTAAGGGTCGAATCAAGGCCGGACCTGAAGCTTTGTTGATGTCGAGCGACAAGAGCACTCGTCTGACGGTCTTTTGCCTGAATGTTACCTCCCGCATAGTGTAGGGAGCCCTTTGAATTAACGGCACTTGAGCGTCCATGGTTCCATCCTGACTCGTAAGTGGTGGAAGGCTACTGTGTGAGAAGTTTTTACTCTTATATCGTGCTGGTATCTGGCATTGCGAACTGCTTCGTTATATTTGTTTCTGGGCTCGATGTCGGCTTGTCCTCTACAGTGGGGTTTTGTGAGAAGGTTCTGTGTGCCTTGTCTTCCGCTGGCGAGCAGTGTAACACGATTTGTTAAACTAGCCGTTGGGCCTGGTTTAGGCACTGTCACTGTATCAGAGATGAATTTCTCCATTCCGACGTGGATAATTTCGGTTATCGAAGAACAGATAGCCGACGCATCAGCGTCAGCGAAACAAACATCTCTCCAAGGAAATGTAGAGAAGAAGGCTCTGAGCCCAGCCCAGTCGACATGTCCGTAATGCCAAATATTGCAGCGTGTGCGAGTTTCTGCTGCCACAGCGGGTTCTGACCGAAACCTAACCTCCACAACACAGAGTGGTCTGAGTTACCCAAGGGGGACAGGATAGCAGTGCTGTACGGGACAGGATGCGTGGCCAGAAAGAGATCCAGCAGGCTACTGGCATGTGACGAGACGCGGGGGAAAAAAGTAGAGCCCGTCACCAGCTGGGTTAGCCCTTGAGTAAGAGCGAACGCTTCAACTGCACGACTTGCTGCATCGGTTTTGTTTGAGCTCAACCAAAGCAAATTATGGTCATTGAAATCACCGAGGAGAACTACCTCTGAAGCGGGGTGATTGATGTTCAGGAAGTCGATCTTGACGGCGAGATATTCAAGAAGGTCATGGTCCGAGGGAGAGCGATAAAGGCAACAAATAAATTTGGGGGACGTTTTGGAGTTGAGGCGAAGCCGCAGAATGTCCTTGGGGTCTGATTCCAGAGAAACATTTCTGTAGCAGGAAAGACTGTGGACAAAGGCAACAATTCCCCCGTTCTTTCTCAGATTGGAGTGCACCTTGTAATTTGAGAAGCTAAGATGGTTAATCGGTGCTCTGAAATTTTTGTCTCGGCCAAGACAAGCATGGCGGGACGATTGGATTGCAAGTAGTGATGAGCAGCATTAATGTTGCTGTTAATCTCGCAGATGTTCGTGAAACAAATTTTATCTTCGATGTTGTTCCCTAGAGTCCACCCTCCATCCGGACATTCCGAGAGTGGAGTGAGTTTACGTCCGGAGTTCTTAGTACTCGTGGATCCATAATCATTAACTTCTTTGTTTTGGAAGATAACCGACTGCATAGCTTAGGTGTGGAAACATGCGGACATTTATGTTATAAGACACCCTGGGAAAAGCTGGCGGGTGGTACCGCCTCGGTCGACTGGTCCTTGTCTACCACCTTCTTTTTGAGTGTTAATGATATTAAATAGACCTAAAGTGGCCCGTTGGCGGACTTATACCGCCACCCGTCAACCGGTCATGAGGTATTCTTTTACGCATGTATAATCACTTGAACCCCAGTAGGGGTTGGAGTTTTTGAAATTCAATATAGATGTTACAGTTATTTTTCAGACTTTCGTTGTCGAACTTACGGCATATTTGTTGTTTTGTCAGTTTTCGAACCGGTGTTGATCGCATGTAAAAATGTTGGAAATCCTTGGAAAAAAGTATATCTGTTAGATCGTAATTATTTTGATAATGTATGTATGTACGAAACAAGTACAGGAATACAGGGCTGTACATATTCACGTGTAGTGCAGAAGCTCCCCCGATAGCATTAAATATTTAAAAAAAAATATTTGTTAGATATTTGTAGCGACAGATTTTTTAATATTTAATAAATATATTTCTTATATATTTATAAAATATTCATTATAGATATTTTTAGTATATATAATTCATATATTTTAGTGATATTTTGTCCAAATATTTAGAAAATATATGAGGAAAGGTTTTTAAATATCAATTTTATATTTTGATGAAATATCTAAAACTGGTCGTAAATATGTATGGATTTTCATCATCGATCTGATACATATTTTCAGTGTATATAGAAAATTCTTCATTGGTTATTTTAGCAAAACCTGTAGGAATGCTTATATAAAATTGGGTGTATGAAGAAAATTCATTCTAGATATAATGGTTTAATTTGCTAGAAAAATATTATTAAAAAAACATCCTAAGCCTCTTCTCCATCTTGCAAGTCCACTCCTCTGAAAAAAAAACGAACATACTAATTATGAAGTATTATTGAGTACATAAGCTGCTTTCCAGTGTATTTATGGGAATATAAAATGCAGTGGAACAACATTGGTGCAGAGCATGGTGAGTTACTCCGAGCAGCTCAACTTGGCCATTGAAAAGCAGCTCTATAATGCACCTAAAAGGACCCCACAAGGCTAGTTATTTATGGTCTTGTGAATACCTTTATACTCAACTGGAACAATAATGTTAACCAGTCAGATAAATTAACCTATGTAATTATCGAAAAACTTGCCCCTTTCCCTTTTCCACAAAAATACACTCAAATAATGAACCACTTGGAGGTACACAGGAAGCACGCTATCATAGTGAAAGTCAAAGGTAGAATGGTTGCCTCAGGCCAACTTGCTATTATCCCATTGGTCGCTCGAGGTCACACGCACATGCGCCGTAGCCGAAAATATTTAATGAATATTGTAAAAGAAATATTGTATTTAAAAATTTAAAAGGTATTTAATAAATACTTAATAAAAATATTATATTACAAATATTTATTAAACATTTGTTTAAAAAAATCACAATACGTATAAATCGCAAGAATCTAAGAATTGTGCTGTAAACGTAAGTGATGTCATCTAGCTATAACTTATAGTTAGTAAGCCTCTGTCGCCATGATGTGGCAGAAAGTAACACTACAATGTTGATTACAAACGCAAGTGTCAGACGTCTAGGGGGGGAGCCACTGATCTAGACTCTAGAGCATTTCAAGTAAATAACCGAAACCTATTTAAAATTTCATTTTCAACTGAATTTTGGTATGATCAGCATTGTTCATATAGTGCCCAAGATAGATCTAGAATATTTTTTGATATCTTCAAATTCCATTTCAATAATGCATTTCCTCTCGTCACATACAAAATCTTACACTCAAAGACTCAAAAAATAGGAAAATAACAACACTCGAATTAGATAGCTTAAAAAATATTCTACTCTTATGCCACAGCGAACTTAAAACAATTCTTCTGCACAAAATAAAATCTTATATGATAACACCAAAGAAATATATGCGAGTGAATTGCTTAAATTAAAAAAATATCATAACAAAAACATTATATGCAGCTATGTCTGGAAATAAAGCAAAAGCTATTTGGCAGGTTATCAACATGGAATGTGGCAGAGTCTCATAACGTTAAGCAGGTGTTGGACATTGATGTTGAGGCATCAATGCTTGCTCATCTGAAGGATATTTCCCCGATTTTTCTAAATATACCAAAGTACTACCAATATATAAGACAGGTGAAAAAGGTTCTCCAGAAAATTCTGGCAAATCCATGTTTGTCAAAAATAATTTAATATGCTATACTGGATCCATTAGTAAAATACTCAGATAAAATGAATATAATTAATAATAGTCACTTTGGTTTTCGATCAGACAGAGGAAAGATCTGATTCTATAGTGAGCCTTGTAGAGATCATTAGAGGATGAATGTATACATGTTGGGGTATTCACAGATTTATCAAAAGCATTCGATTGTATAAGCCACCCCATTCACCTAGAAAAAGTTTTCAATTTTGGTATTAGGGGGATTGCGAATGAGTTATTAAGATCTAGTAAATAGAAAACAGAGAATTTACTATAGGTATGTAATGGGAAAGTGAGTAATGATCTAGTTGTATTCAGGGGAGTACCACAAGGCTCCATACTTGGGCCATTTCTGTTCATTACGTACATTAATAATTTGCATGAATATATGAAATCCATCAATAATAGCATAATTACAACGATATACGCTGATAATACAACTTTCAGTTTTATTAAGTAAAACTAGAATGGATGGAAAAGAAAATATTGTTGGGGCAGTTCTGAGTCACTCAGAAAAATGGTTTTCATCAAATGAATTATATTTAAACAATCAAAAAACTATAGTCTGTACATTCAGCTCACGCAGAAATTCAGATACATCATATGCAAAATTTTTAGGTGTGCAGTTTGACTCGCATAATATATGACTTAGACTTTCCATATTGACCAAATTTGTACAAAGCTAGCTAGAGTAGTATATGCAATATGCAAAATTGCATATATTATCGATACCAACTCTGCCCGAACAGCATACAATGACATGTTTAACTCTTTATTGAATTATGGATCGCTTAGCAGCAATTCGTAGTATTATTAGAAACCTTAAAATAATGACAGTATTTGCAGTTATACTATATCAGAATTTAATGCATGTGAGGAAAAACTTGTGTGTTTACTGCACTCTATTCGATATTCAAGGCTACAATACACGAGGGAAAACAAAATAGTACCTCCAATAAATAGAATTAATGTAGCCAAAAGCCTTGGAGTTGAATATTACAATAAACTTCCTGAGAGTGTTAGCGGACTGCCGTTGGAGCTTTTCAAAAGTTACGTACCTTGGCTCACTCTATACAATATAATTATTATATTGCATCATCTTGGCGTTATCTTGTATCCTTCTATTACCGTTGTTAGAAAACATGCAATTATCTCATACATGCAACCTGATACGTCCTCCATGCTTCTTAAGAATTAGCTTATGTATGTGTATTTCTATTATACGACTTTATAAAAACCGTTGTATTTTTTGTTTCCCAATCAGATAGCTATCAACTATTGTAGTGGTAGTTAGATTCATCAGCGGGAAATTAGTTATTTTTTAAAAACCCTCGTTCGCCCCTGGCAAACATAATTCAAAGGAAGGTCAAATCAATTTTAATAGAAATAGCGCCATATAATGTTGACGATTTTAAAATGTACTGTAGGCACGTTTCTGTTACCTAGATTCTTTCCAGTTTTCAATTCTTTATATTTTCAATATGTTGCTAATGTCTTGTATATTCGTGTGCAATGTACTGTGTGTTATAATTTTAATATGTCTGCGTTACAATGTGTATAGTCAAGCTTGATGTAATTGTCATTTATATGTGTATTCAATGTGTATGATTTTTATGTTTTTATAATGGATTATTTATTATTTATATTTTTTATTGTCTGAAATCCTCGACTCACCAAAAATGTCATTGTACATTCTCTGGCTCGATAAATGTCTATCAATCTATTTATAATTTATAAAAGTACACGACTTTTTTATATTTTTCTGATAGCTATTATGACTTTGCCTATTCCCCGTTTTCGGTTTGATATCCACTTGTATATTTCCTACATATATTTCTTTCTCTCACTTAAGACTGATAGAAATATTTTCGATACCCGCATGGAATGCAACTAAAATGGAGCATAAACCTTTAGCGACTGACCGCTGCAGAGGTTTACTAATCTCGATTATAGTGATCGCAAGGTCATCAGATGGTCGATAGGGCAGATCTACATCCCAACGTTGTTGAATGGTGCCTGCCTATTTGATCGAGTTGATTTTGTTATACATGTTCGCAGCTTTTTTTAAGAGGCGCCAACCTGTGCCAAACATTTTATGAACTGATAACAGCTTTGCGAAGGAAGTACATAGTCAACCTGCTTGACGCCATCTGAAAGTCACTTCTAAAAAAGCAGGAAGTAGAATACCTAGTAGAAAGTGTTTATTAGCTTTTTTGACATTCATCAAATATATGTTTGTGAATGCATTCATTTTCGTAACATAATATAATTCTTAGTTGTTCATATCATTGTTTCATCATAAAGTTAATTTCGTCTTGAGATATAATGGATGGATAATGGCGAAGCTTCAGCACTTTTGTCTCAAGATTGACAAGGGGAGCCACTCTTTCCATCGATGTTCCTTCATAGGTGATAGGACCACACCTACTTTCTGTCAGTTATTCTAAGCGTGTCGTGTATCAAGGCCAATATTGGGATATATGCGGCTTGACCAAGATTGATACAAATCTATGAAACAAACTGGTTCGACATAGTAATATTCCTTAAGTCTGGCAGATTCGACGTCGAGTTTGAAACTGTCGGATTGTTAGCGTCAGTGTCCAAGGTCGAAAAAAGGTCTGAATATGGCTTAAAAATACGCTTGAAATAGGTGGTGTTAAGGAAAAGTCAAAGAAAAGGTGAGGTTTGAAATTTTATTAAAATTGAAAATATTTTTTTTGTAATAAAATATAGTTTACAATGTTTCATAAATTATCGTAGCGCATAAAACAAATATTATAACAATAAATAATATTTTTATTAATACATATATACGTGCAGATAGATCTTAAGTAACCTTGAATGTCTGAAGATTAATAATCTTCCAATCTTAATTCATAATATTATCACGGTAACACAAATTGGAAAACACAATTACATATATGGAAATATAACATTCCTACATAACCTAAAGGTGTTTGGAAGCACCCAAAAAATATAATATATATTCAATAGTTTCAAAAACTGTCTTGACCGCTTTTTGGACTGCCTTTTCGAAAATCCAAAATTAATTTTTTTTACAAAGCCAAAATAAACTTTAATTTTCAACTTAAAATTCTATACAGGCTGTCCCACGTAGCAATTACTCAAAAAGTTGACGTAACACAATTATGGAAATTTGGGTTTACAGTATTACTGATAGGAGCAGTTGGGCAAAGAGATTTACAAAATGAAGTAGATACCAACTTGCTCATGTTAAAAACAATCTGTAAATTACTCAGTTTTGGGAATCTACACGATATTCTGAACACATTTCATGTACATCATCCTATTTCTAAATCTAGCTGTTTTTGATATACAGTGAAATTCCCCTTCACGGACACCCCTCTTACACGGACACCTACTTTAAACAGACAGTTTCTCATGGTTCCGACAGACTCTAATATAATTTGCATTGTATTAACTATCTCTTGGATGGACATTTTATTTAACGAACGCGAAAACGAGAAAATGTTCTCCTAACAGGACAAAAAACAAAAATTTCAAGATAATTATTTTTTTTCTGTTGAGAGTGTCTCTATTGCATTTTTCAATCATACTGCGCGCCATCTTGGCTGGAACTTTCTTGAGTAAACCGGGGATTCGCGGACTCTATTCTTTCGGTACAATGCTTTCGATTAAATTTCCATTCCAATGGCTCCAAATAGAAACATTCTGACGCTTAAAGAAAATGAGATTTTTGAAGTTCACAATAAGGACAAGTTAAGTGTCAGGAACTCATCCAAGCGTTTTAATATGGGAAAAACACAAGCTGCAGATCTTATTAAACTTAAAGAAATCCTTCTAAAGAAGTGGATGTCATACAGCAATTTGTATGAAAAAGAAGCTTTTTGACGGGTTATGGTACCAAAATTGACAAATTGTGTTATGTCTGGTTTATAGCAGCTCGTCATAAGGGGATTCCTTTGACAGGAATATATACGTATTATTTTTTTGTACAAGGTTTTTTGTATTAGTGCGTTGATTTTATTTACATATCAATTCTAAATGAGTGAGATAATCAATAGGTTTGTCGTGACAAAAACGCAAAAAACTTATTATTTTTTAGGTCCGCTAATACGATGTAAATCAAAAGGAATAGCCGATTCTCTGGAAAATTCTACATTCAGTGCTTCTGGTTGGCTTAATAAATTGATAATTCGACACAATATAGCTATTTCGGGAAAGGGAGCTTCAGTTAATGCTGAAGATGTTTTATCGTTTTTGGAAAAATTTCCTTCTGCAAAGGATATTCACCGAGAGACATCTACAGGCTGTCTCACGGCAGAGTTAGAATTTTGAAATTGAATAACAATAAAATGTTTCGGATCATCAAAACTATTTTTATTTCATTTGAAAGACTATATATGCGGATATCATTTTTTTAAAATTATGTCGTCGAGATGACCTCCATCACGTCACACGCACTCGTGGAATCTCGTCATTGCATTTTGCGTGACACGCCTGGCCAAGGCAGGTTCAATGTTCCTAATTTCTTGGCGGATATTTTCTTTGAGCTCAGCGATAGTCGTTGGATCACTGGCGTATACTGTGCTCTTAAGATACCCCCACAGGAAAAAATCTATGGGGGACAAATCTGGTGATCGCGGGAGCCATGCGATATCACCAAAACGGGATATTAATTTTCGATGATTTTCGAAGCTGGACCATGGTTTCTCTTGCACTGTAGGCAGTGGCTCCATCTTGCTGAAGCCACGTGCGTGAACTGTACGCAGGATGCTCTTGCAGCTGGGGTATAAAATAGCTTGTTGTGATTTGTCGTTCGACCTCTCCCATCTTCTCAAAAAATAAGGTCCGATGATTCCGTTCGATGAGAGGGCACACAATACCGTTACTTTTGGGCTGTGCAGAGCTCTCTTTTATTTGGTATTGTGAGGTGCCCAGAAGCGACAATTCTATTTGTTTACATAACCATTTAGATGGAAATGTGCTTCATCGCTCCAAAACACCATATCCAATGTGCGAAATCTCTCAATGACAGTCTGGCAAATTTTTTTTTTTCGTTATTGCCTGCACAATTTGAATTTTTTATGGATGGAATTTCAAATCCTTCTTCAAAATCTGCTACACTTTTGATTTAGAAAGGTTTAAGGCTGCTGCTCTTTTGCGAATCGATAAACGAGGATTGCAACGAACGCTAGCATCAACTTCATTCATTGCGTCTTCAGTTCTTGAAGTCTTGCTCGGGCCCGGCCTCGGCTGATCCTGTAGTTCGAAACTTTTGCACCCATTTACGAATCAAGTTTTCGCTTGGTGTATCCTATAAACGTCTTATATTGTAATGTAAACAAAACTGCCGCCGAGCCGTAACATACGATTCTCCGTCCTTGAAAAACGTCTCTATAGCGAATGCACGATCCGCGCCTGGCCACTGCGACATGGCGACTGACAACTCCGCACGAACAGTGAATCTCCCGCGAGCGGTTTTTGAAATATTCAATTACCAAATCCTAACTCTGTCGTGAGACACCCTGGATAATGCCGATGAGACAGGCCTGTATTCTAAAATACCCGACAAAACGCTCACATTAAAGAAGAAAAAATGTGTTGGGGGTAAGTATCCCAAAGAGAGCTTTACAATTTTGCATTGTGTAAATATGGCGGATGAAAAAAAGAAACTCCTAGGCATTGGTAAGGCAGCTAAACCCAGAGCTTTTAATAACATTAACATAAATGACCTGCCTGTAACTTGGAAGTGCAATAAGAAAGCTTGGATGACAAGACAAATTATTACAGAGTGGTTGCACGGCCTAGATTGGAACATGGCTAAAGAAAAAAGAATCATTTTGTTATTTTTAGATAATGCGGGATCTCATCTAAAAGACATTCGCTTAAATAATATTGAAATATTATTTTCCCCCTAATTGTACATCAGCTTGTCAACCACTTGACCAAGGGATTATAGAGAGTTTTAAAACTTATTACCGAATTCTAATACTCAAACACCTGCTAGTAAATATTGAAACTGCTGGTACAGTTAATAAAGAAAATTACGTCACTGGATGCAGTTAATTTGGCAAAAACTGCTTGGGACCAAGTAACCAAACAAGCATTGTAAAATTTCTTCTTTAAAGCAGGATTTAAGCATGAAAATATGCAAAGTGAAGACCAATTGAATGAGGCTGATATACCTGATCCAGAAGATGACTTACCACTTGATGTACTTTCAGATATCCTCAAAAATAAGAATTTATTGAAGTAGACTGATATGAAAACCGTTATGATTTTTTGAACCCAGATGAATGTCTGTTTGTTGAAGATCCAAATTAAGACCAAGGAATTGAAAATCCAGTTGAAATACAAGAACCTTCCGAAGATTCTGATGTCGATGAGGTTTCAGTACCATCAGAAGCTATTCCAAATTATGGTAAAGCTATCACCTTGACCAAGTAGCTCAAAAGTTTTGTCTAAGTTAGAAATACGATTTCAAGACGCTATTTTAAAGAAAAAGAGGAGACAAACAACAACATATGAATTTTTGCGTCCTTAAAGTGACTTTATTTCATTGTTTTGTGTTACTAAATATATGTATGTACATACATATGTAGGTACATATTAGATTATACATATGTATGTACATACTTTGTATACATCTAAAGGTAACAAATCTTTTTTTCTTAAGTTTGAGGTTTTTTGTTTATTTCAAAAACATTTATATACATATACTTTTAAATGTTTCAGTTTCGTTAATATATTCAGTTTTCAATAGAAACACGATTTTTGTTGTATTTTATACGGACACCCCTCATGAACGGACACTTTCAGTCGGTCCCGTTGGTGTCCGTCCAAAGGAGATTTCACCGTACATCAATTTTGCGTAAAAAGTGACAAGTACCAATGAATTATAACAATTTCTGAAATTTCTCAAAAAAGGTTATATTTAAATATAGGACGATGTAAATGACATGAAATGTCTAGAATCTCGAGTAGAATCCAGAAATTGAAAAATATAAGCAAGTTGTATCTACTTCCGATACAACAGGAAGTGCCACCATTTTAAAAATATGTTAGCTGAATTAGTTATACTATAAACTGAACTATTTCAAGTCCAGTTTTTGAGTAATCGATCTACACCCTGTATATTTTGTGCTTTGCAAAAGGGCAACAGCAGGGCAGTCGAAATGTCAATGATAATTTTAAGTTTATCAATTACTGTTATTGCTCATCAAACCTTGCGCGTAAAAAAGTCAACAACCTTTTATTGGATTTTTTTTGTTTCATGACAGATAATTTTGAAGAATTTTGTCAAATGTCAGGACTGAATAAACAAAACTTTGATTAGTGGAGCATTCTAGATTACTTAGTAAAAAGAAGACACAGATAAGTTATCACAGAACCAGTTGCACCAAATTGCAAATATTGTTATGAAAACAGGTATACAATATTATACAATATCTACGATATTTTAAGAGTTAAATAGCCGCATTTAAACGAAATTCATAGAAATTTACTCTAAACAGTTATTGCATTAAGACTGATTCTGTATAATCCGTAGTTTGAGTGACTACAATCAAGAATCACGCAACACTCAAGTGACTGTATTATTGGCTAGGACATCAAAGACAATCTGCGTACAACTGAATTCAGAAAACCTCCACAAAACAAATAGATGAAGTGAAAACCTCGCATTCGTGGGAGAAATTTTCCAACTCGATTTTTATTTTATAACATGGATCAATAAGTTGTCGGAGTTGCAAATTAATTTAAACACTTGTTTAATGAATTACAAAAAGAATAGTTTTTGCTTCGTATGATAGGCCCATAGGGGCATAGCGCGTTACTAATAATAAATAATTATGAATTTAGATACTTAAAGATCTTAATTTTCAATCAAATTTGGAGCAGTTTCCAGACTGCTAATCGCATATGATCAATTTTAGAGAAAAACTACTGAGGAGCTTTTTTACCCAAAAAGCATAAAAAACTATTTTTGTAATTTGTTGAAACCAGGTTAACATCCGGCTACCTGTGGATTCATGGTGCATCCAACAAATTACGAGGCCTGTATTAAGTGGTGAGACTGGCAACGTAGCGTTCGATATGGCAACACTGGAGGCGCCGGGCTTGGATGGGAGACAGGGGAACATGTGATTCGCATTCAGTACAAGTTTGAACAGTTTTTCTATTGTGATCTAAAAAAGAGTTACATCAATTTCAAGCAGCGGTGTGATATCAGGTTTTGCTTGAGCACAGTGCAACAGAAATTCTTGCTAAACTTCAGCGGAGATAGTGTTTTGTCAAGAGCCCAGTTTTTCGGTGGTTTAAGGGAGAGAGTCCATTGAAGATGATCCACAAAGCGAAAGGCCTTCATCTTCAAGAACCGATTAAAATATAGACAGAATCCGGGATGTTGTGCATTCAGATTGACGGTTGACAGTCAGAATGATCGGAGAAGGGTTAAATTTGAGTCACACCACCGTTTATCAGATCAAGAACTGAGTGTTGCACCACGATAATGCTCCTTTTCAATGTCAATAAACGAGTTTTTGGCCAGTAAAAACATTCCTGTGGCTCCTCAGCCTTCTTATTCGCCTGACGTGGGTCCAAGGAGCTCATTTTGGGACAGTCGGAAACATTCAAACGGCTGTAACCAACTAGCTGAAGTCTATTCCAGTATCGGAGTTCCAGCACTGACAAGGAGTACAGAGTAGCTTCAGAAAGATATCATTTTGAGGGTGACAATATAGAATTTGAATTATATTTGAATTGAAAAAAATTTAAAAAAATCAGTCACATTACTTAATATACAAACCTCGTATGAAAAAAAATTCTAGTTGGAAAATTTATCCTAGGGATGCGACTGTTTTGACCTCGTCTGAAAAAAGAACGTACACATTACTTCAATAGATTAGTGAGTTGAGCTATAGTATGCTCTTGAGCTAACGCGGCTAGTTCCTTAACCCACTCATCAAGCAAAACTGCACACAGAGCTACATGTTGACACTCGTCAAACTTAGGATAAATCAAATTGAATTGCACTTCTTCGGGCGATGCCATTAATAGAACACTACTATCCGCCTGACTGGGCCTTCTTCCAAACAAACTGCTTATTGGTGGTATGTTCAGGCTCCGCCTTTTGAAACTGTTCCTTTGAAATGGTTCGTTGAGGCTCGGGTCCAACCTTTTGGGGGACGCTTGTTCTGAACAGTAGCTTCTCAAATTTACTAGCATTATTTCTCTGTCTACGAGACAGTCACGGGCATATTTTATTTGCTGCGGGTATTTGGATTGTCGTAGCATGTATTCGTCGATTTTTTGTTTTAGGATTCCAATTATCTGAAAAAGTAAAGGACTGGTATTAATATTTTCCAAAAGTCTTGCATAACTTCTATAATAATAATCTTTATTCAAACGGGGTACACCCAACCACAGGAACAACACAATAGACAGCCTAAGATTGCCTCCAAATAAATTCGGTTACAGGGGTGAATTTTCTTTTAGTGTTTTTTGTCATTTTTCAGGAGGAGATAAGAGATTCAACTGCAATATTTGACTTTAAAAACATGCCTCTGAAGAGATTTGTATTAATTTATTTTTCAAGTAAGTAATATTAGGACAATAACTGTTTTAAAACTATTTAAGGTTATGCGTTGTTTAAATGTTTTCTAAATTTTACGAAATAACTGAGTCCCTAGTTTTAATTATATGTATTTAAAGATGTCCATGGCTGATTCATCATATTGGGAATATGCCTAGTGCCTGTAAGCACCACAGTGAAAAAAAAACGTGCAGGTTTTTTCGGATTCCTTTAAACAAGACGGAGGGGAATAGATGGATTTTTCTTATAAGGTAAAGGAATAATACATCAGTTTTTATAGAAACGTTTTTAATTGTTTTTATTTACAGGAGAAAAGATAGAGGTCCTAGACGATTCTCCAAAGTTTGTCATTGCCATTTTATAGATCGGGATAAGAAAAATGGAACAATAATGTTTGATTTTAATATTAAAAAAAGATTAAACATAACAACCCCAGAAAAAAAGGTGTGCATACTGTTGCATAAAAGCATGATCATAATAACATGAGGATAATCAGCCTCATTTGCTGACTCACTACCAGGTCCTTCAACACCCTTGCTCCACTCAAGGTATGAAAGAAGTCGATGATCCATCATTGTCTAGCAAGTTGTTGAGTGAACCACCAAAACCCTCTAAGAATCCAGAACAAACAGTGACTGGATAAACTTGATAGTTTACTTCTCAGCCCATCACCTGCTTCTCAAGATGCTGAGATTTATTTTTTGAAGAAACAAGTTAATGAATTAACTGAAAAATTAGAAATTAGAAAAGTTAACAAGGTGTAGTTATGAAGCGATAAAAAAAATGATGCTCATATATTGATGTATACTGGTATACCAACAAGTGAATTATTCATTGTGCGTTTTGAACTAATGAATGACATCCAAATAAAATATTATGCTGGCTGGAATGTTCAACTTATCCCTAACGTTGATCAGCTTCTGATAACACTGATGAAATTACGACTGAATTTGCCCCACGAATATCTGAGTATAAGATTTAATTGCAGCACAGCTACCGTTACCAATATTATCATGACTTGGATTTACACTCTGGATGAAGTGATATTTGTACATTTGATGAAGACAATACCATCGAGACAAATAAACCAAGCCTGCCTCCCTGCTGCATTTACTAATTATAAAAATAGTAGAATTATATTAGACTCCACAGAGATTTACTCCACAGTTCCAGCAAGCATGGAAAATCAAAGGTTGGCGTACAGTTCTTATAAACACTAAAATACAAGGAACGTATTGTTAGGAGTGGCACCAAATGGGGTAATATTCGTTAGCAAAGGGTCAATATCTGACAACAAGATTGTTCAACAGAGCAATGTTTTAAATCAAATGGTTCCTGGATATATGATTCTAGCAGACAACGGGTTTTTAATTAAAGACTTTCTTCCTGCTGGGGTATCGCTCAATATTCTACCCTTCTTAACTACACCCCAGTTTACAGAGTCGCAAGTATATGAAACACAGCAAATTGCAAAAACCAGAATCCATTTCTAGTAACTTTTCCTCGAGTAAACTCATACTAACGTATGTCGGTGATAATGACTGCGGATAAGGGCTTTCATGAGCGTCGAATAGTAATGATCTCAGGAAATACGGAAATTATACAGATTTCGTATATCATGTATACTTAGAGTCGATTAGTTCGACAAATTTTTAAACCAACAACACCGTTTCTTCGTATTTATGTTTATTCTACGACATCTCTTCTATGTCCATGTATGGAAGGTTTTCATAGTTGCTTAATAGTAAAGATACCAGGACGTATGAAAGATATTTACATACTACTGGTGCATCTTAAAAGTCCATAATTTTCATTTTAGTTTCAAATCATCAAAACTGTTTTCACTGATTCTACACCCCTTTTGCAGAGGTAAAAGAATTTAGCTGTCAAATATTGAAAATACTAGGGCATACAAAAAATTGACACGTTGCATACTAAAAGTCCATAATTTCATTTCATTCTTTCTCGAATCCATAACACTTTCTTTCACTAAGAGATTCATATGATCCACGATACACATACACTGAAGATAGGACCAGCGGCAGAATTTTGGTATCGTGGTTAATATATACTATACAGGGTGTTCCTTAACGATATGCGAATATTTAAGGGTGTGAATCTACATGGAAAATCAATGTTAGTTTGCTTTATAAACTATGGCCCAAAAATGTTTCCTTACAAAAACTCGGGGTGTTGAAGTTTTAGGAAAAACATGAAAATTAATTCTTATTTTCAGAACCGCTTCAGATATTTCACTGATATTCAGTACATAGTTAATAAAGTTGCATATTTTTCAATGCAAAAATAATTTGTAGCGTTAACAGTGGCGTGCGTACGGGTATTGACTTCCGATATTTTTTAAGAAAAAAATGGTACGCCAATGGTTTTTTGCCAAATAAAAATTATTTTTCAATTCCCCGTTCAATTTAAAACAAATGAGGTTCTGAAAATATTAATTAATTACCATTCTTTTCCTAAAACTTCAACACCCCGAGTTTTTGTAAGGAACCATTTTTGGACCATAGTTTATAAAGCAACCTAACATTAATTTTTCATGTAGATTCACACCCTTAAATATTCGCATATCATTAAGGAACACCCTAGTGCGATTTGTTGGTGGTTTTGTGACTTGTTGTATTAGTTGATATACTTTATATACCCTGTGTGGGTTGATAAAATGATAAAAATGTGGTGTGCTGTTGTGGGATGTAATTCCGACAACCAATCTAAGCATGAAGTTCCACAGTTTTCCTCAAGACCAGAACCTTACCAAAAAATGGCTACAGAAATAAAAGACAAAATCAATGTAAAAAGGGCTAGGGTTTGCTCGAAGCATTTTTGTGAAAGTCTCTATAAGGTCAGTTTGGGTTACACCCCTAAAAGATATCGTGCTCTAAAAGATGATGCCATGCCTACGGAAAATTTACCCAAGTCTCTGTCATCACCTGGACCTTCTACATCTACGCTTCAGCGTTCTATTACTTGTTAACAAGACGTCTTAATCAAGATGTGATAAAAAACTATTTCGGAGTAATTAGGGCAAAAGGTGGTCTTCATGAACATCCAACTCTCCTGGGTTTAAGTATAGAATAAGGTCATATATATTTTGTGGCGAAACGAAGGCGCATACTCAGAGCATTGCAGCGTAGAGTCAGAGGATACTCCAGACATTCCACTAACCACTAACCGTATCAGTAACGAGAATAAACTGAATGCACCTGCAGTATCAGCTGACTATAACGAGGAAGTTTTAGTGAAAGAAATAGATGAGCTCGAGTATGACGGGCTGAAAAATTTGGCCAGCTTTGTTTGCCATAAATTGCAGGATGAGAGCTGGAAAAGTTCTTCAAATGAAACTTATTCCTGGATAAACCATCTTAGTGAGGGTGGGTTATCAAAACCTCCCACAGCTTTCATGAATCAAATTGAGAAGCCCAACAAGGTGTTTGCTACATTCAATGGGGACGGAATAGTGACAGAAAAGCAAAATTTTATAGGCGAACTTCTGTTCAAGAGCAGCAACATTGACTGCCCTGAAAAAGCTAAAAAACTATTTTTCAGGTCAAGGATGTTCTTCCGGATCAAAGAACTGAATAAAAGTTTGAACGACCAGAAAAATCATAAAAGGGAATGGAGAAAAATTGTTGCTTAGACTTAGTCATTTCCATTTATTGTTATACCGCTAGCTTCTACTTTTCTAGTTGCGTACATTTTCACGCATACATGTACGTAGGATGTTCTGTGAATAAGGATAAATATTTTATTAACATCATGAGCATGATATGGCTGCTCCTCAGAACATACTAAAATATAAGTAATGTAGAAAAATGGAGTTATCTTTTTTTACAGTAAAGTAGCGATAGGCTCTACTGTGGAGCTACAAAGCCGTTTAATCTACAGCCTGTGAAATAGAAATTACGAGGTTGAAATCTTTTATTAAAATCCACCATTTTATTTTGTTTAAAATTTTAATGTAGCCAGTGTCACTCGCAGCGCCGACAAATCCAAGGACACTTCATATGTGAAAATCCGACCAACCATTCGGCCTGTAGGTGAAAATATGCACGTTACCCATATCAACCCAATTGATAATCACTCTCAGCGTGACGTCATGCGCGCCGGCGGACGAAAATCGAACAGTGGAGCATCCGGCACTGATATGATCATCAACAAATAATGATACCAGTACACGGAGATACATGATGTACGAGGGTTGTCTCAAAAATAAGATTCCCAACGCTGTATCTTTGCCGCGCGTGATGGTAGGCGAAATCTGACAGCACCGTCGTGTTTGTCGGCTCCCCTACCACCGATCCCAACAAGAGGCCCCTATTTGCGATTCTCAGTACCGGCCCGACAGCCATGCGCATTGGAGCGCTTCATCGATGTCATCGCCAAGGTGCGAAATTTGTGGGGTCATCGATCTTTTGCACGCAAAAACGTTACCACCCATCGCCAGTTGAGTTAAGTATATAGAGAAACGCGTATAAGCATTCAACATGTCCTCAGACGGTGAAGAGAGTGCTCTGAGGGCTGCATGGACATCCATGATGAACAAAGAAGCAGGAGGCCGTCGATCTCCGAGGAACTTGTGGCGAAGATTGAGCAAATCTTGCTCGAAGATCGGCGAATGACGAGCCGGAAACAGGCGGTTGAAATTCCAGAGACTTCTGAAAAACCTGAGACGAGCAATCCAAGGTCGTCCAAAGCCTAAGACTGCACCACAACAATGCGCATCCTCAATTCTCACAACAAACGAAAGTCTTAATCGAGCGATTTGGCTGGAAAGTCATTGCCCATCCCCTTACAGCCCTGACGTAGTGTTTCCGAAATTGACGGAGCACCTAGGCGGTCAACGGTTCGAGACGGACGAGTAGTTGCAACGAGCAGATACCAAGTTTCTAAATGGGCTGGCGGCGGACTTTATTGAGGCGGGAGTGCAAAAGTGGATTTCACGTGTGAAAAAATGGCTACTATTGAGAAAAATAGCTTAAATATCAACGTTTCCAGTAGTAAATACGTTTTATAAAAAAATCCTTATGCCTGAAATAAATGTGGGAACCTTATTTTTGAAACTACCCTCGTAGTATTGTAACGCACTCGTAACCGAGATCTTGAATCTCGTGTAAAAATAGGCAACCGGCATGTATCGCAGCTCGCGGCGCTTCGAGAGAGAGAATCGAGTTTTTATAGATAACATAAATCTGTGGCGAATAGAATAGATAAGTCCATTAGTAGGGAATTGTGTGAGAAGTGCAGAGTCCACCTACCTGATCCCATTTCTTGTGCTGGTAGCCATGGCGACCGAAAATGGGTATTTTGCGCACAAATTGCGATTATTATATTTATATATTTTATATAATTTTAAGGTTCTGAGACTTACCTCAAAAAGGGATGGCACATTAGGTTGTAATATCAGACTATGATCTAAAAGGTATGCTCGCAGCAATGGTTGAGGATAAGCAGCCAATCGTGAGATTAGTCCGGTTAGGTGCAAGTTTACATAAAAAGAATTTGACAAGAAGTTTTTCAGCTTCTCCATGAGTATGGACAAAAAAGGACCAGCAGAAGGACTAGACTGGTCAATATCGTCAATTTTCGTTGGCACTGAAACCTCTCGTTTGTGCTTGAAAGTCGAAGATGTCTGCCAAAATTCTTCTTTTTTAGATTCTTCACTATTCACATTGAGACTGTCATAGCCACTACTTCTTTCCATGGACAAGTTACTAGAGTTTTCTGGAACAAACAATACAAATTTTGACATAAGGTTACTAAACCAAGGATAAAAAAACATTCAGATTGGGCCATTAACGGCAGAGTTGTAAGTGAAAAGAAAAAAAAGCCAGGACATCCCCAAATGTTGCATATTTGTCATGTTTGCAGAAAGTACATTGGCAACATGCATCCACCATTTTCTGTATTCTATATATACTAAGTGACATATAAATCCGAACACCCAGTTTAAATGGTTTTATTTTAATAAAATTTTGTATAAGTACTTAATGAAGCATAATATGTAAATGATAAAAATTTCAAAATGATTGCACTGTTTTAAAGCCCTTTGACCTTTAATAATGTGTGGATGCACCTTGATGTGCTACGCATTCTCCAACGCGCCTAGGCATGCTTCTAATCAGGTGGTCAATGTCCTCCTGTGGTATCTCATTCCAGGCAACCACCAACTCCTCTCGAAGTGCTTCTAGAGTCTGAGGAGGACGTTGCAAATTGAGCAATCTCCTACCCATCATATCCCACACGTGCTCAATTGGGGATAAGTCACTGCACTTTTTATTTGAAAAAATAAAAGAAATAGATGGAAACTATGAAAAAAATGCAGTAAATTTGATTTTGCAGATTATAAAAGTAGTAAACCACATGTGCTTCTTTTTGATTTACAACACTTGAAAATGGAATATCATTTGTTTTAGGTCTTGACAACAATTATGACACAAAATCACATTTAAATGACTCCTTATAAAGTCATGGAACTTTGCAATATTCATTTGCTTTTATTCTGTCATAATAAATAATAATACTTATTCGTTTTGAGCTCAATTTTCTCAGACTTTGATTTTTACACTTTACTGCATTGAACTCAAGTACGTGCAAAATATATCATATTTGTATCCACATCCACCATATTTGCCAGTATCTTTGTCAGTTTCAAGATTTTTTTAGAATTCTGTGTTAGTCTTTTTATCAAGTTTTTTCAATGAGGTATTGATAAGACATACCTGAGCTGTAGGACATCTCATCTTCCCCATTATAAGAGTTATTCCACCTTGCACAAGCAGTTTGGCACCTACTAATTTTAGTCCTAGCATCACAAAGATACGCGTAATATTTCCCATAAAGGCTTTGTTTGTGTTTCAATGTATTCCACTGACTATTTCCATTATTAGTATTATTTCTATCTGTATTTACATCTTCTACTAGTTGGCAACATCTTGGTGATAAAGTCAATAATTTCTCAAAACTCTGACAATAAGGATCCAATGGTAATAAAATCTTTCTTTGGGATAGCATGAGGTGTAAACATGGTTGAAGATATTTGAAAACTAATTCTAACATCAAATCTTCACAATCCAAATCTACCATAGATTCCAGCATTGCTAGTGAGACTAAACACAACTGGTTTTCAGAATTCACCCTTTGTATCAATATATTCAAAAGTCTTTTTCCATCAAAGTCAACTTTTAATAAAAATTGTAGCAATGCATGGAGTAAGCCAGGTTCAGTAACTGTCCGTAGAATAAGTTCCAAATAAGCTGTTGCAGCCACTTGTTCTTGGATATTATTTTGGAGTAATGCTGGTCCTAATACTGGTATTAAAAATCCCCTATACAGAAACTCCTACAAAAACACACAAATTAGAAATGCCATGTTGTTAACAAAGTGCCACTACTTTGAAAACTTCCTGCTGACTTTTTTTAATTAAATAATTGATTTTTTCTGTCTAGCTAAAATCGTGAAATTTTACAACTACCTGCAATTGATTCCTGATCATAGGATGTGCAACCTGAGCAACAGCATTGCTAAATTCCAAAGCTGTAACAAATGTTAGCAGTCCTTTGATTTCATTCACATCATCAGGTGTAAATCTATGCCAGTCAGGTACCATAATATCATTTAGAACATTTGGCAGGACTGAATATAGAGCACTCAATCCTGATGCTACTAATAAAGAAAAGTTTGAGTGCTCAGCGATGTAAACAGCAACTTGCTTATTCTTTTTAGATAATGACATACATAGTAATAATGCATCTCTTGCTCTCATTCCTATAGAATCCTCTCGATGGATAAATGGTATCAGTAAAGCAAATATTATGAAACTGAAAAAAGACAACAACAAATTATTATGATACAAACTATGCCCCAGAAAAATATAAGTGAAGTCTTCAGTGCAAGAACCAGTTGTACAGTCTGCAAAATCAAAAAGTTCAGGAATTTACTAAAACTAATCTCAAAATACCCCTCAAGCTCTTGTAGTGCAAGGATTTAAATTTAATTTAGATATTCGGCAACCTCAAAAACGATAATTTTTTACCGAATTTTTAAGCATTGAATATACCCGCATTGGTAACCCAGATCAAATTCATTTAGACAATTTTTTGATCATTCCAAACAAAAGGGCTTCCAGTAATTTTTCTCTAAAGGTGACCATTTTCAAGTTATAACTGATTTAATATCTGAAAGGTCCTAAAAATGAGTATGTTCAATACTTAGAATTACAGTTTTTGAGATCACCAGGCACCTAAATTTAAGTTAAACCTTGCTTTACAAGACCTTGCTGGCTATTTTGAGATTACTTTATCTTGAAGCAATTTTTGACCATGTCTGTTAGGCCAACAATGATTTTCACATATTGTACTTTGAATTTGATTATGGCACATTTTTTCAAAAATTTGAGTACCAGATACTCAGTAAAATGTGCCAAGCACCTGGTACTTACCGTAATTGCAACAAGCATTCAGTATACTTTCAAACTCGCCATATTTTCAAAATGCATCCACAATATTTACAAAGGCATTTCAACATATATGAAAATCACATTTCACCATATTTGCAGAAGGCATTCATTATGTAACTCAAATATTATCTTTCTTCAACGAAAACGTTTTTAAAAAAGATTTATTTTTGAGAAAAACCAAATACAATGATGTTAATTGAATGAGTTCTGAATCGAGACTGACTGCAAAGTGCATTATACAAACCAAAGTAAAGAACAAATGAAATACAATACTGAAACTGATAAGAAAGGAACGTGGAGGTAAAAGTCCTTGTTCAGCATAATCTTCTCTATAGACTGGTACATAACTCCTCCACCCCTAGAATGAGGCTTCCCCTGGAAGGTGAATTTCTTTCTTCTTACATCTTGAACTGGGATCTTCTCTTCTAGTGCGTTTTGTGGGACTTGGACCATCTTCTTTCATCTCGGCTAATTCAATGTCGATTTCTAACTTGGATGCTTTCTTGTTCCTCCATCTTCTATATAAAATTATGCAGCAGATGCTTGAAAATACGAAATATAGTAATATGGTCCAAATACTGGGTTTTCCAAAATTTTCTATGGAATTTTCTTCTAAAATTGGTAACATTCGATTAACTTGTAGTTCTGGTAAATTTAACGTTTTCAGAGTAATTTGTGTCTCTGGGATATTTTGTTTCATAAAATGGAAATCCATTTTGTCAGCTACGAGGGGCTTTCCATAGGTTTTGTCTTGAAAGATAATTTCATTGTCTTGGAATGATATTTGGCATTCACTGGCTTTGATTAAGAAAATGCCAAGTAATGACATTGTATCGATTTGCTCCTTGCATTTAATTTTCAATTTTTCTTCAGCGAGAAATACAGCTAAATACTGGTTAATTTCGGGAATAAATTCAATGTGATTTTATTCAATCTGAAGCTTCGTGTATCTACATGGCTTCTGTAATTATTGACTTCTCGCATTGGGCTTTGTGATTGGCTAATATACGATTAGGGCATTGGGTACAAATCTCGTGCAGGGGTTTGATCTCACTTCGATCAGATTTTAGCAAATACTCAAAATTTGGGATAATAGTGACGAATTCTGATTTGTGCATCAGAGTCGGTATAGGTAACATATAATAAAGATCTAAATGTTCAGGATAATCTATAGGAATAGATAGAAAATAACTTATTTGATTCTCGTCGATTTTACAACTGATAGAAATAATAGATTCATAATCTAGCATATTTTCATACTTTACTTCAAATGGTAATTCATTTTTATAAAATGTGGATATCTTACGGAGTTCTTGAAATAATTCTCTAGTCCTTATTATACTGGAATGCATGGTTTTCAATTTGCAAAAAGTTATCGAATTTTCGATATCTTGTAAAATATTCAATATGGCATTATAGAGGATAATTAATTGATTGATAATGTCCTTCGCTGAAAAAATATCCTGGTTTGTTATCTGGTTCAATAAAATATGTTTCAATTGTAAAACGTTATTTCTTAATGTCATCTCATCTTGAATAGTCCCGTTAAATTTTGCGACAAGTTCATTGTTTACTGAATATTGCATTCTCAGCTGATTTTGAATATGGTGCTGATTTTCTTGTAAATGAGATAAAATTTTATCAATACGTTCTCCATCGTCCTGTTATTGTTGTTACTACATAGCCTATGAAATTAAAAAGTCCTCTCTTATTGCGAGACTTTTGAGAATGAGATTTAATGTATTCGATTTTTTCTTGAATCAAGCTCCTTATATAAGATACTATCTTACTATAATTTTCTAGCTCGTTATTAATCTTAGAATGGTTTCTGTAACTATAGTTAAGATTACTGTATTGAATATTCAAGTCTTCATATTCCTTATATGTATAAAGGTGATAGATCATAATAGTGCACAAAAGTATGTTTTGTCTTTTGTAGCCTAGCTGTGCCTAAATTTACTGGCAAAATTCCTAAATTGTTCGTTGTGTTTCTTATTTCTGCTCCGCATCCGAAATAGATGAGGTAAATGGATATTTTTGGAAGTATTGGCATGCGTGGGATCTATCTCCGCTCTTTTTAATTTCTTATCTATACTAACTAATTTTTCTTGCTTATACTTATTTTTAGTTTTCTGTTGCTTCTGTTTATTCTTAAGATATACCTTGTTAGGAATATCAGGCAAAACTTCACGTTTCTCATTTGCTTTATTTATAACTTTTTCTTTATTCTGTAATATCTTTTCATTTAAATTCCTATATACTAATTTCATTTTTTCCTTATGATTCTGTAAATAATTATTTAATAATTGCTTATCTATGTTTATATTAAAAGGTGATTCTGTATTGAAATGACCAGTAATCACTTCATAGGGTTTAAGATTGGTTACAGAATGTATTGTGTTATTATAAGCTAATATAGCGTAATTTACCTTAGTTTCTATAGGTTCGTTCTTGTACTCTACCTGATTATTTAATAATCTTAAATGTTCTATGAGCGTTGAGTGGAAACGTTCTACGGTTCCGTTAGATTCTGGGTGCTGTGAACTAATAAAATGTATTTTGACTTTATGCAATTCTAAAAGTTCATTGACTACTGAATTTTTTAATTCTGTGCCATTGTCGAAAATCATTTGATCTGGTATACAGTGATGTGTAAAATATCTTATAAAATTATTTGTTACCTCTACTCCATTGGCAGAGTTCAGCATGTAAGCCTGACCGTACTTTGAAAATGAATCGGTCATAGTCAAAAATTTCGCGTTTTCTAAACAAATAGTGTCTACGTATAAAATTTGGAATGGTTTCGTAGGCGTTGGCGTAATATTATATTCAAGTTTTAACGGATGTCTGTCGTATTTTGTTAACTGACAGATTTCACACTCATTAATATAAGTCTGTATCGAGTTCCTTAAATTCGGCCAATAATATATTTGTTTTATTCTTTTATCAGTTTCATCGATTTCTCGATGATTGGTTTTACCTTCGTGATAATTCTTAATTATATCCTTAATCTCATTTTGATCTGTAACGTCTATCAATTTCTTTGTGCATTTTACTAGATTTAGTTGGGAATTTTTGAAATATGTTTGAAGCACTACGCTAAACTTTTCATATATTTTGAAATAATATTTTTTTTACAATATTTTACCTTTGGTGCAACAAATTCTTTTACAAATTTAATTGTATCAGCTTCAAAATTGTTCTTTGATAATTGAACGGATATTCGCTGTTTATTCACATGTAATCTACTAATTACTGGATCAGCTGGTTCGAGGTTTACTTCGGAAATAATAATTTGATTTTTTGCACAATTTACTGCTGTATCACTAATTGGAATATTTATCGTGGGATTTTCTATATTAGAATGAGCGGTGTGTCCTGATGAATCATTTTCATTTTCATCAATTTTATCGAAATCATTGGGTTGAGGTGCAATCGAATAGTTATCGGTCTGATTGGGAATATTGGAAATATTCGATGGACCCGCTTGATTTTCAAGATTTCTATTAAATTCTTCCATGTATTGTGTCAGTGGAGTCGGTGCTCCTGTTTCATTAACATTTACTTCTATTCTAGATAAAAAGTCCGCATTTGTGTTTGATTTGCCTTTCCTGTAAACAATGTCAAAATCATGTTCTTCTAATCTTAAGCGCCATTTTAGTAATTTTGAACTAGCATCTCTAACTGAAAATAACCATTGGAGGCTTATGTGATCTGTTACAATAGTAAACTTACGTCCGAAAATATAAGGTCTGAAATATTTTACTGCATATACGATACTTAGAAGTTCTTTTTCTGTCGTGCTATACTTTGTTTCTGAATCACTTAATGTTCGTGAGGCGTACGCTATTGGTGAATCTGAGCCTAATTTACCTTGGGATAATATTGCGCCGATTGCATCCGTAGTTATCAAGAATGGTTTGGAAAAATCCGGATATTGGAGTATCGGATCGTTTGTCAATAAAGTCTTGCATAATTCGAAACATTTAATATAATCTGCGTCATTGGGATTAATAATTGCATCTTTTTTCAATCTGATTGTCAATGGCTTAGTGATTTTCGCAAAATCTTTTATAAACTTACGGTAATAACCTAAAAGTCCAAGAAAGCCTTTAATTTGCTTCTTAGTTTTTGGTATTTTAAATTCTGTGATTGCCTTTATCTTATCGGGGTTTGGTTTCATACCATCCGCCGTTACAACATGTCCTAAATACGATACTTCTTTTCTAAGAAATTCCGATTTGTCTAACTGTATTTTAAAATTTGACTGACGTAACCTTTCAAAAACTTCTCTAAGTCGAGAAATGTGTTCCTGTAAACTAGTACTGAATATTATAATGTCATCTAAATATACTAAGCATTTTTCATTTTGAATACCTCTCAGTATGTTATCCATTACGCGCTGAAAAGTCGCTGGCGCGTTTTTTAGTCCAAATGGCATTTTTATAAACTCGTAGTGTCCATTTTCTGTATTGAATGCAGTTTTTTGAATATCCTCTTTTGCCATTTCTATTTGGTGAAAACCTGAAGCTAAGTCTAATGTTGAAAAATATTGGCATCGCCCTAATTTATCTAACAAATCTGTTATGTTTGGAAGAGGATAACGATCTCCCAATGTTTTTTCATTCAATTTTCTATAGTCTATGACTATTCTCCATTTTTGCTTTCCCGATACGTCTAATTTTGTTGGAACAATCCATATAGGTGAGCACCACGCTGAATGGCTTTCTCTAATAATTTTTTGATCAAGCATTGATTGTATTTGTCTTTGTACCTCTTTTCGGTGGATTTCAGGATATCTGTATGACTTAGTGTAAATGGGTATTTCATCGCTTGTACGTATATGATGCTTAATTTTGCTCGTAAAAGTTAAGTAATTACCATCTATGTGAAATATGTCTGAATACTCTCTTACTAACTTGGTGATTGCATCTTTTTCTTCAGAGTTCATATGCTCTGTCCTAATTTTGGAAATATCAAATTTATATTTTTGAAAGTTCAAAGAATTAATATTCCGTGGATCAGAATTTTCTGAAAATTCGTAATTTTCAAAATTTTCTACATCTATTGGTCGAGATATGTCAAGAGAAATGTGTTCTTCAGATAAATTTAATACTGTGCAAATCGCTTCGTGATTTTTCACTGTAGTAAGACATTCAGGGATTTCTAAACATGATAATTTTCTGTATGGAATAATAGCATTACCATTTTTTTTAATTTTAACTTTAATTATCTGTTCTGTTCTAGGTGGAACAGTGATAACGTTCGAAGAATTTTTTGTAATCTCGTGATACTGCATGGGTATCCTTGTTGTGGGTGTGACTACAAGATCATTGCTCAAATCAATGTTGGCATTCAATATCTCTTTCAGGTTATCGAGTCCTAAAAGGCATTGGAAATGTTCGTGAAACTTGAATAAATGAAATTACATGAGAATATTTGGATTCTTAAAAATCTTTGGACAAGGTATTGTCATACTATATTGTTCGATAGATGAACCATGTGCTGAAGTGATTTGAAATGGGTCTTTTTGAATATGTCTTGTAAATAATTTTTTCGCAATTTCAGGGTGTATGAAAGATTTTGTACTTCCAGTGTCAATCAATACTTTGAGATTATACTCCGGAAATACAATGTATGGTAGTTTGCTACATTTGTCGGTTAAACTCATAATTTCAATTGACTTTGGTGGTCTCTGTACCGAGGCTTCTTGCCCTAAAAAATCGTCAGAATTATTCTGAGAATAAGCGCATTCATAATTGTCATCATTTGGAAATTCTACAACAGGTTGGTCTTGTACACACAAGTTAAACATAGCCTGTTCTGCGTTTACACCAGGTCTGTTAAAATTTCTACCTTGAAAATTTGGTTGCTGATGCGTCTGTCTAGTGGATGTACTCATCGGAGTAGGCCTTGGCAGATTATTGATCTGATTAGGTCTAAAAACGTTATTATTGTGAAAATTCGTGCTATTCTGATTAGGATTATTTGGTCGTACATTATTAGGACTAAATTGTCTTTGTAATACTGGACGCTGTATTGATTCCTATAATTACCAAAGTTGTTGTTCATATGGCGAACTAATTGCATATTATTTCGATTAACATTTTTATGTTTATCTACCCTATGATCAAGCTGAAAGTCGTTAGTTAATATATCCAGAGCTTCATTCAAGTCTGTAGGGTTTTTCGTCCTCATGAGCGATCCTAGAGGTTCCTTTAAACCTTTTAGAAATACTCTTAATGCTTCGCTTTTGCAAAAATTACATATTATCTGAGCTTCTTCACTCACACAATGTGTAGTCAAAAATGATATTTGTAAATTCAATAAACTCTGAACTTTGTTATAAAATTCAAAGGGGGTTTCATTGTTCTGTTTCAATTCACACATTTCTATATTTAGAGCAAATACGTCATGCTTGTCTTGATATGTATTTAAAAGTGCAGTTTTCAAGTCTGTCCAATTTTTTATAATATTGCTACTAATATTTAAAGCTGCATTACCTTTGATTTTCGCTAAAATACTACTCATACCGGTGATCACGGTAACGATATCGATATTCCGTCGGATCGTTCGCGACCAATCGCGGTTGGTTTCGTTATAGCCAGCAAACCATTGAAACGAACCGAAAATGTCCTTTTTCGTCTGGCTATCCTACTGCTTGCTGTGCCACTCAAATATCTTTCTTCAACGAAAACGTTTATTAAAATGATTTATTTTTGAGAAAAACCAAATACAATGATGTTAATTGAATGAGTTCTGAATCGAAACTGACTGCAAAGTGCATTATACAAACCAAAGTAAAGAACAAATGAAATACAATACTGAAACTGATGAGAAAGGAACGTGGAGGTAAAAGTCCTTGTTCAGCATCTTCTTCTCTATAGACCGGTACATAACTTGTATGAAAAATCCATTCACCATATTTGCAAAATGTATAATTAAAATGTAGACTCAACCATTTCTTGCATTAGAGACTTTTGATTACAAAAACTGACTTTCATACCTTTGTACACCTTTTAGATCTTGGAAGAACAGTTCAATAAACTCAACATTTTGCATGAGGAGAGCACTAAGTTGGTTTATTAAGTCAACCAAAGATTTTTCTACTTCTCTTGAAAAAACTTCACCCTCACAAGAACATAGTAGTTTTATCATTGGTTTCAAAAAGGGTTCATGAACCAACAATACATGCCTTGCTTGGCTGATTAACATCTGGTAAACTTTTAGCTGTTCACATCTTATAGCATTCATATACCTGCAATCAATGTTATACAACATACAATTTCCTGAGCTTATCAATAATAACAGAAAGCATATGACTAATTGAGCAAAGTTCATACTGATTCTTTAACAATAAAGTGAATTATCTATTTTTGATGCTGTACATGCCTACTGTGCAATCATGTTTCACTTACCGGCCTGATTTGGTACTCCAGTCATATAACTTATCTAATATATTTTCTACTAGTAGATACTCTAAACATTGCGATGAAGAAACTGTGGTACATATCCTGTCATGTCTCTTAATATCATAAATAAGTAAAGTTGTCATTTGCTCTAAATGGTTAACAACTCCCAAGACATCATCATGGCTTGGCATAGACTATAATCAAAAAGCAAAGCCAAATATTAGTTTATAAGAAAGTTGATATTTACTACTATACTTGTACCCTATCGAAAATCTTTAAAACTTGTTGCCAGTGCTCCTTAAAGCTATCGTAACAGGCTTGAGGGTCGCAATCTTCTGAACTGGTCAGTGATTTCGTATTCCTTGCTGGTAACAGCGAGTTGAGCCATTCCATATTCTGATTTTTTACTTTAAATGAAGAACATAGTGTGTCAGATTGTTTGGTTTTAGGTGAATTCTGTTGAACAAAAGCCCTATAATGATAAATAATCACTATTGATAACAAGTGACATTTCTCGATCCCAAAATAAATGACATTGACAACTCGACGATGTTGACGTCAGTCAAGTGAAAGATGACATTATAGATAGATTATCTTATTTTATCAAGTTGAATCTTTAGCTTTCAATATATAGATCGAGCTGCAACTACACGTTTAAATCATTGCTCAATAGATAGCCACACTATCCTAATTTTACTGCCATCTGGTAATTGCAAGTGTAATTACTTGAAACCATAAGCAATGCATAAGATAGTTACCTTTTCGTTTCTCCAAAAGTGTTGTGTGAACAGCCGTGGTTTCCTGTCAATTTCACAAATGTCAAAGTTGTTTTTGGATACAGAACGATTTTTGATTAAACTGTAAAAATCTGTAAAATGTGATTTATTAAAAAATGATAAGCTCTATAAAATATTTCTACCATACTATGGTGATTTTTAATTGTGTAACAGTGGAATATAGTATGAGAGTTATGTACGATATCTTTGCCATACGTACCTTCTATCAAAAATCATAAAAATGGCTGGTATATGGCTTAAATAGATGCCTTTTAGGTTATACCCAAAATATTGTATACATTAATCGAAAATTTACTGAAAAAATGAGGAAGAGCACTGAAAAACCTTCTAAATACACAATGGGTAAGCAGCAATTGACAATAGGCTATAATGATACTAAAATATCATTTTATAGGCAACTCTTCTACTAGAAGGCATTATAGTAAACAACAAACTGCAAAGCCAGTGCACCTACGTAGAGTTGAAAAGGCTTTGAACCTGAATAATTTTTTACAAAACCTGAATCAGGGCCTCGTACTCAGTGGCGATTCAGACGATTCTGAAGAGGATATACCTAATGTGACAGATATAAACATAGACAGCATATTGAAAGGTATTTCTGAAAAGCACAACAAATTTTGTCGTATCTTTCTGGAGAAATGATAATAGTAGAACCAGTATGGTGTGAACTACTTGCACCTTATTGGTCAAGTTTCAGTCACACCTTATTGATTCTAATCTATCATAAGTTTTATACAGATAAGTGCATACCACTAGCAGATATTAGTAATTATATGTATTAAGTGCTGAACTCTAGGAAAAATGCTTTAAATTTTAGAGAATTTTGCACATTTGACATAAATAGAGCGGCCACATGCTTAGAAGCCTTGAGAAGTAATACACTATTTTTTCAGAAGGCATCCACCAAATTTGAAAACCATATCCATTGTATTTACAAACCTCATTTTCTACAGGGTGTCCCAGAAATAAGATGCCAGAGTGAGACGGGAGGTAGATTGGCTTCAAATCAATCAGATAAAATCTACATGACCTCATTAAAAGTTTTCTACTTTCTCATTGGAACCAAATGTAATAATTTCATTTTCTTAGCATACTGTGTTAGTTTTCAATGAAATAAATACTCGGTTAACTCAACCAACTATTAATGGTAGCCCAGAAAAAATCATAAGCTAGAAGTTCTTTATATTCGTAATAGGCAAAAAAAGAGCAAAAAGTAGTGATTTTTTGAAAAAACTTAGAAGTGGCAATATCTCGAAAACTAGTATTTGATTTAAAGCCAATCTAGCTCCTGTGTCACTCTGGCATGTTAATTCTGGGACACCCTGTATAAGGAGGTCACTATATTAGCAAACTGCATCCACCTATGAATATGGTATTCGCCATATGTGAGAAATGCATCCAGCTAATGTGCAAATAAGAGAATATTTAGCACTAAACAGCAAAACATATTTGTTCTGTATTTAAGAATCTGAACCGCACTCTCCAAAAGAATATTATAACTTCAAAAATGTATCTACAACACGTAAATGGTTAAGTGATATACTCCAAGAAAGTTCGGATGGGACTCCGGATGATGTACAGTACAAACACATACTAAAAATGCACGCATATACAAAAGATATTCGTAAAACTAAAGAGGTAAGTTTTGTTTAAAAAACTTAGCCATGAATCTCATTTCGTATGAGAAACAGAGTTTTAAAATTAGGCTCTTGCTCTTTTCAGAATCAGTATATGTTTTATGGTGCTGGATTGATAAGCACCATAGATCATTATCCTGAAATAGAGAAAAATCTGCCATTACAACCTAAAAAAACTGGTATCAAGACGCAAGGTTACACAGAATCTAAACTTTTTGGTTCAGAACCACTAGATGATGTTGGGTTGAGGATGGTAAGTAAATTTATTGTTTTGAGGTATAGAAGGAATATATGAAATTAAACAAGGATGTTGTTCTTTGCAAATGTCATCCATCACTTTTACCATATTTGCAAGTGGCATCTCCCATATTTGTAAACCAACCACTGTATTTTTGTCTGAAAAGTCTATTCATCAGTCTATTTTTACAAATATTATATTTCTTTAATCTGTGCTTAGAACACTTAACATAATGTTTAAACAACAATAAATTCAAAGATTGAAGTGACTTTACAAAACTTTTGAATAAATCTACACTATATGGTAGATTATTATACATTTTTATTGCATCGTGACAGGGTTATTTAATCCTATATTAGTTTTAGTGGGAATCTGGTACAGAGTGTTATTATATGATCTTGTTTCATAGTCACACACAACATGTGTGATAACAATTTCTGTATTACACTTTGTTGGTTATTTAATATTTTGAAAATCAATTTACATTGTTCTAATTCCAACAACTCATCTAGTTTAATAACATTCAATTCTGTCTAAACATTATCCGTATTGGCAACTCAGTCAGAGTGCAACTCTTAATATTCTATTTTGTGAAACTTGTGCTTTATGAAATACTGTTTTACCACATATTTCGCAAATATATTACATATATGTAATTTGTGCCAAGAAAAATTAACTCAAAATGCTGATTTCATTTTTAATAGTAAGTCAATAAAAATCATCGACGTTGTATCAACATTTTTTTTAATGTGACTAGACCAATTCACATTCTCATCTATAATTAATCTCAAGTATCTGATGCTTGATGCTTTTTCTGTATTGACGTTATTTATTTTTATACAAAAGTTTTGAACTATTTTATTCTTCTGTTAAAAATTTATATATTTTGTGTTATCAATGTTTCTTCAGTATATTGGAATACAGCCATTAACAGCAAAGAGCAAGATCCAAATTAATTTCATCACAGCGCCTGCTCACTATTTTCTTTATAAAGAACTCTACAGTCTTAGAACACACAGCGAGTATAATAGTGGCCCCAAGACTGACCACTGGGGGACACCATAATTGCTAGATATACACTAACTATTTGTTCCACCATTTTTCACATATCCTGTTAAGGAAATTACTTTTAATGAAATTATACATACTACCTCTAAATCCTATATTTTGTAACTTATTTAATATTATATTGATCAAATACCTTTTTTAAGTCTAGAAACACTGCTATTTGTTTTTCATCCAAAGCCCTTGAGATATAATTTACAAAAACAAATGCTGCTGCAAGCTTACTATTTTTCATGAACCCATAGTGGTAACAACCATCTCATATTTTCATTTATAAACGACATCATTCTTTTCTTGATGATTTTTTCAACAATCTTAGATGAAACACTGATCACAGATATTGAGCTATAATTATAGACAGTCTATCACCTGATTTATAAAGTGGAGTAATTTTACTGTTTTTAAATTCATTCGGAAATAATTCAGTTACCTTATCATCATATTGTTAATTAATTTTACTAATATTTTCATGGCCAGGGGCTGAATTTATTTTTAATTATGGACTAGTGTCCCACGTGACAGGCATAACGAAGATAGGTCACACTGGGGGCACTCAGGTTATCAAACCTTCTTTAACATTCATTTCATTATTTTGACATTTCTTTTCCATTATGTACCTATCGATAGAAATTCAAAGAACCAAACTGGGTAAATGATGACAAAAGCATACTCTAATTATATAAAAGATTTGTATGTTTGGTCTAAGATTACACATATCCCTAGAGTATATAATCAGTATAAAATTGAATGACAAGAATACCGGAAATTTCTGTAGAATTACAAAATAACTTCAAATGAAAATAAAATATTAAACTCAAAAAACATGACAAACACTGCGTGGATTATTTTAAATGCAGAAACTAATAAAGAACTAACGCGTTTCATTGAGCTAAATCTTAATAATGGTGTAATAATAAAAGATCCCCAACAAACTGCTGATGCCTTTCAGGAAAGGTGTGATAGCTCTCAATCCCATGGCAGTCTTGATATTTCAGAAGCTAATGGGATTCCCACTTTATTTTTGCTCCCTGTTGACAAAAGAGAAATTAAACTAAATTTTTCTAGTTTGCCAAACAAATTTTCAGCTGGTTTGGATGAAATCCCGGTGGTAGTTCTAAAGCAGATATCTGACTATATATGCCAACCGTTGCTAATATTATTAATGAATGTGTTCAGGAATTTTCCGTCACATTTAAAGAGGGCAAAACTGGTCCTCATTTACAAAAAAGGAGATGTGCATGACTTAGCTAATTATCGACTAGTCTCACTGTTATCTTCGGTCTTTGAAAAGGTCATATATTCAAGGATAATGAACTTTATCAAGAAATACAACAATTTAACACGAAATCAATTTGGCTTTCGCCCAAATCCTTCCACATAACTAGCACTATTTAAGGTTCTTACTTTTATTGTTGAAAATGTGGATAAGAATGAAAAACTGGCCGGTCGGTTTTTTGATCTGTCTAAGGTCTTCGACACGATAGATCATCAAATACTCATTAAAATTCTTTCTAAACATGGAATATGAGGTAAATGTGCACAGCTTATAGAGTCATATTTTGACAGTAGGGAGCAGCTAGCTGTATAACCTAGAATGGTGTTAGGCATTTTTCATCTGTAACCTTGATGTGCCGCAGGGGTCAATTCTGGGACCGTTGTTGTTCCTGCTCTATGTTAATGGGCTTTGTGCCACATTTATGGAAGGTCTGATTTACCAGCATGCGGATGACACTACTATTGTGCTGACTGCGTCGGATATGCATTAAGATTGAGTGCTGATAAAACTGGACTTGTCACGTTCCGTGAATCATCTGCCAGGGGCGAGTCGCTGTTGGTTCGTTGCAATAGCGGATCAATACCAGAGATTACTGATATAAAGTTTCTGGGCATTTACCTGGATTCGAGTCTGAATTTGGATTGTCAAACATCTGTTTTGATTGGTAAACTTCACAGCTTCTGTGCGTTGGTGCGGCTGCTAAATGAGGTTTCATTGAACACTTTACGGCAATTTTATAATGCATCTGTACAGTCATTGTTAACTTATAGTATATATATATAATGTTCTGCGGCTCTTCGCGGGGTGCCATGGCAGTTTTTATAGCGCAAAAGCGCATCCTGAGGTGCATTTTCAGACTTCATCCTCGAACATCATGTCGGGAACATTTTTCAAGATTGGGATTCTTGACGGTTCCATCACTGTATTTTTTGTCACTTGTTTTATTTGTTAAAAAGCATATGTATCTTTTTGATAGTAACGCACATGGTTATGCTGAAAGTATGACTGCTGTGACCAGAGGCAGAGACAATCTGAGTGTGCCTGCACATTTGTCCACATTTTTTAAGAGGGCTCCATTATACATGGCTGTTAAAACTTTTAATATGCTTCCTATTAGGTTCAAAAGAGCGGTCCAGTATGGTTTCATTTACTTCTTGTTAATCAGTGAGGTCTACCAAAACACTGTTAATCATACAGACTTCCTTTTTTCCAACATTTACACTTAATGACCTAATTTCGATATATAATTCTTTTGCAATAGAACTACCAACCAACATTTGCAAAAGGTATCAATCATATTTGCAAACTGTTGCAAATGCTACGATTGTAGTACTTTATTATTGAGCTAAAGTTATACCATCAATGTTTTTGGGCATCCACGCGCCGTCTTTGTATCGACGAAGAGGAGTTTTAAAGATCAATCACATTCTGGAGAAGTTTAATAGTTTATTTAGTTAAAACATGACCTTATCAATTGCAGGAAGATCCTTGTTTGGACATGAACTTGCAAAATGGTTTAGCACTTCGCACCATTGATGAAGAAGAACATCGTCACGTGAACCCAGAATTTACTATACCAATGGGTTCTCGCACGATGTCAGTTCACCATATGGCACAGATGAATGCCTTAAGTAGTAGAAAAAAGTCCAAACGATTCAAAGATGAGGAGTCAAAAAGGAAATGGGAAGATATGATGACTCTTAAGAGACGGAAATTATTTACGAATATAGTGAAAAAAGAAATTGGGAAACAGCATAGATCTAAGATAAACAAGCATAAAGAAATGTTGCTACAATGTAAAAGGATTGCCTCTCATTGTATGAAGTATGCTCGACAGAAAGCTGTAAGTGTAAAATATTTTTTCAGTACTTGTAGATTTTCACATATTTTTATGTATGTCATATGTTTGAAACTATTCCAGTTGCTGAGCGCCAGAATAGTAAAAGAACAACAGTGGCGTATGAAACGATTATCAAGAGAAAACATCGCATATTGGAAACGATCGAGACGTTTCGACAGAGAAGTTAAAAAACGACTTGAAAAGGAGGCTGAAGAACAACGTAAAATTGACTACGAGCTAGTCGAGGCTAAGAGACAGCAAAGAAAACTTAATTTTTTGATCACTCAAACTGAGCTCTATGCTCATTTCATGTCAAAAAAATTGGGCCAAGCATCACCTCAAGAGCAGTTGAGAATATTGAGTCAGTTAGATGAGGATAACAGCAATAAGCTGAGCTGTGATACCTATGACAGGTTTGTTAAGAGTAATCTAAAAAAAATCTAACACCAGCTTTAGAAGTCACTATTGGTCACTAAAAGTGAGGTGTCTGTCGGTCTGTCCGCTAATTTTATAACCGCCTATAACTTGAGCAGTATAGCTCAGATTTTGATGTAATTTTCACACAAGGTTCCTACTACGAAAAGGATGAAAAGCTTTGTAGTTTTTGAAAATCAGTCTAAAAATACTAAATAAAAATCTCAAACTGTTTTTGGTAGTGGTTGAAACTTGGGGGTTGTAGGGCATAGGGTGTCAAACACGTTCTATCATCTGGAAGCTTCTGATCTCGGTAAAATTATATGATAAAAGTCCGATTTATAATCTGCTCATCCTATTTACCTAGTTTTTGTTCCCAGTTTTCAGTAGATTTCAAATTATTGTGGAGAGGAGAAGCAATTCTCATAAATGACGTGTTATTTTATCTCGGATTTCATAAAAATGTTTCCTTAATCAGTGTGCATCCAATTTTAAAACCTCTAGTATATTTCATACACATTTTGGTGAGGAAAGTCGAAAACAGAAATAGTCAAATTTTGGTAAAAAATGTTTAATACCGGTTTCGCAGCTTATCTTTTTAATTTCAAATTTGATTTTTTCATTAAAAAATATAGAGGATTTCCTTTCTAAAACGCTGTGCTTAATAACCCAATGGACTATTTTTCAATTCGAAAAATTACTAATTTCAAGTATGGCTTTTCTTACGAACCTCATAAATTATAAAATAAACGTGCCGCGAAATAAAAAATCGTGTTTTCTCTTTTACACCACAAACAGGTCAAATATGAACGGATTCCAGAACAATTGTTTTTTGGTAGTCCGTTAGACGTGGAATGTCTATGCACCATATTTCTAAATCACATTCACAATATTCGCAAAATGCATCCACCATATTTCCAAATAATGTTCACCATCTTTGCAAAAAAAAGAGACATCCATCATGTAAAATTTACCTACCATATTTCCGAAAGGCACCCACCATATTTGCAAACGACATTCTGTGATCAACCGGATATTTGCGAACCACATTCACGAAAGCTGTCAGTTTCGATAGAAATAAATATAATTTTAGTGAGGCGATAAAAGAAATGGCAAAAAAGAATGCTTTAGACGCATTTCAAAGTGAAAAAGCACGAACGAGGCACTTTGATCAGCAGGCTAACTCGTGTTTAGGCGATTTTGAAAATATAGAAGGAGAACAACCCCAACCAGAGCTCTTCAGAGGCAAATTAAAGGGATATCAATTACGGGGTATGAATTGGTTGGCGAATCTTTACTCCCAAGGAATAAGCGGAATTTTGGCTGACGAAATGGGCTTAGGAAAGACTGTGCAGAGTATCGCTTTTCTTTGTCATATCGCGGAGAAATATTGTAAGTATACGTCAAAGAAGATCCTAGATCAATCGTTTTGACTTCTTGTTTTACTTCCAGCTGTTTGGGGCCCTTTCCTCATAATATCTCCCGCCTCAACTCTACACAACTGGCAGCAGGAAATAGCTAAGTTTGTACCCGACTTCAAAGTAGTCCCTTATTGGGGCAATCCAAATGAAAGAAAAATCCTGAGACAATTCTGGGACCAGAAAGACATGTATACTAAAGAAGCAAGTTTCCATATTGTTGTCACGTCGTATCAAATAGTGATATCAGATATAAAATATTTTAACAGGATCAAATGGCAGTACATGATTCTAGATGAAGCGCAAGCTATAAAAAGTACTAGTTCTATGAGGTGGAAGACATTGCTAGGCTTTAGCTGTAGAAATCGGCTATTGCTAAGCGGTACTCCAATACAAAACAGCATGGCGGAACTATGGGCGTTGTTGCATTTCATAATGCCAACCCTTTTTGATTCACATGAGGAATTCAATGAGTGGTTTTCGAAAGACATTGAAAACCATGCTGAGAATAAGACAGGCATTGATGAGAGTAAGTAGGTTAGATTGCATGCATATTTTATTATATTTTGCTTGTTTTCATTCCTGTACCGAATTCTGGACCTGTTGTGATTAGCTGTAACTGTTGAATACAGTTTGCAATCAGCTATAATTGTTTGTTACAGGCGGCATCTATCTATAATTGTCAGTTACAAGTTGCGAGTAGCTTTAATTGTCAGTTGCACGTTGCGATTTACTATAAATATCAATGTAGCTTGCAATTAAGTATAATAGTCAGCATTTAACTATAATTGTAAGTTAGAAATTGTAATCTGCTTAACTGCAGGTTATTACCCGCAGTTATAGCTCATTGCAACCACGACTGGTTGACAATTAGAAATTAAGCTTATATTTTCATAGTGTCCTTTCGGCGTTTTCGTGGTTTATACTCGTAATTAATGCATTTAACATTATTTTTTTCACTTCCTACACCAAATGGTGAAGTAGGTAGTTTGATTGGTAGATAATTCGAAAGAACCGGGAGAAAAAATCAACACAAACTAATTCGGTGTAATTTTGGAGATTTTTGCAAAAGATTGTAGTGAGTAAATAGGTAATTTTTTGATCATTGTAAAACACGATGAATCCGAAATGTAGACGTCAGTGGTAGTACTTGTAATTCTGTACTTGATATTATTAGGTATTAAGCCCTTACTCAATCTAATCAAATTTTTAGAGCATCTGTCTAGATTGCACATGATCTTGAAACCATTTATGTTGAGAAGAATCAAGAAAGATGTCGAAAATGAACTGTCTGATAAAATAGAAGTGATGGTTTATTGCCCGTTAACCACTAGGCAAAGTTTGCTGTATTTGGCGTTGAAACAGAAAATAAAGATAGAAGATTTGTTGCATTACACAGTTGGTGGAGGTGATTCACATGCTGTAGATAAAAATTTTACGTCGAATCTTATGAATCTTGTTATGCAGTTCAGAAAGGTATTCAATATACTCTCAGATTTTGTGTGTTATGATTAAAGGTGGGATTCGTAGGATATTGAGGTTAGGAAAAATTTGAATTTCAAACTTTGAATTATCTTTTGACACTAAACTAAATAGTGTAATCTCAGTTTTTAACTTATGACTCTAATAGATAATATTACACGATTTAATTTCAAAAAAGAATTGTCTTTTTCCAAATTTCCTAACCTTAGTGCCCTGCAAACCACGCCTCAATGATAGAATTTCTTAAATATCTGAATTTTTAGGTGTGCAATCATCCGGAGCTTTTTGAAAGAAGAGATGCTAAATCACCGATAAGACTTCCAAATGTCCAGTATAACATTCCTTTTTTCACATATGATTATAACGTCAGAGAACAAATGTCAATCAAGCTTATGAAGAAATTTGATGTTTCTCCAAAGATAATTTCGGAACGTGTTCAAACAGATTTTGAAAATACCATCTTCAGTTTCTGCTATGCTTTCAATTTATCATTTGGAGAGATGTATCAAATATTTCAGGGAAATATGTTGCAACGGTAAGGTTCTTAGTTTTAAACCACAAATGCCTAGTCATTGCTTATTACGGGCTTCACAGGGTATTGATTTTAGGAAATTTCAAACTAACAATTCTTTTTTGAAACCAACACCAATTCGTATAATTTAATCCATAGTGCCATAAAAACGAAAGAGCAATTTCTATATCTCAACGTTATGAAATGGGTGGGTACTATGGAATTATATGGGTCTGTTTGACTGACTTGATCCATTCAATTTTTTTGTTATACATGTTGGTATCTTAACTTACTTCCTATGTCAAAACTGGCGGGGAAGTTGTTGTATTCGCGAAAAATTCCGAATTTGAGAATTTATGTTTTTTGGATGTTATATGCCATGTACAGTGAAATTCCCCTTCGCGGACACCGCTCTTACAGGGACACCTCCTTTAAACGGACAGTTTCTCATGGTCCCGACAGACTCTAATATAATTTGCATTGTATTAACTATCTCTTGGATGGACATTTTATTTAACGAACGCGAACACGAGAAAATGTTCTCCTAACAGGACAAAAAACAAAAATTTCAAGATAATTATTTTTTTCTGTTGAGAGTGTCGCTATTGCATTTTTCAATCATACTGCGCGCCATCTTGGCTGGAACTTTCTTGAGTAAACCGGGGATTCGCGGACTTTATTCTTTCGGTACAATGCTTTCGATTAAATTTCCATTCCAGTGGATCCAAATAGAAACATTCTGACGCTTAAAGAAAATGAGATTTTTGAAGTTCACAATAAGGACAAGTTAAGTGTCAGGAACTCATCCAAGTGTTTTAATATGGGAAAAACACAAGCTGCAGATCTTATTAAACTTAAAAGAAATCCTTCTAAAGAAGTGGATGTCAAACAGCAATTTGTATGAAAAAAGAAGCTTTTTGAAGGGTTATGGTAATAAAATTGACAAATTGTGTTATGTCTGGTTTATAGCAGCTCGTCATAAGGGGATTCCTTTGACAGGAATATATACGTATTATTTTTTGTACAAGGTTTTTGTATTAGTGCGTTGCTGCAATGAAAGCACTAAGTGCCTGTAAGATTACTTCGAGTCTTGTATTGCAATGCAGGGAGGCTTTGGATTGCCTCGCAGCGAGGCATCCGGTATCGTTAATATGGTTGCCGGGGCACGCTGGGATAAGGGGCAATGAGACGGCGGACACTCTGGCGAAAACAGGATCAGCCAGCAAGCTCGTTGGTCCTGAGCCAGCTCTAGGAGTAACCGCGCATAAAGCTAGGAGGAAAATGGAGACGTGGGTTGCAAGACAACACTCTCAGAAATGGAGAAGTATCTCTAGACATCTCCGCCAGGCACGAGTGCTCATTGAAGGGCCCAGTCCTAAGGATGGACACTTCTGCCTATCTCTGGGTAGAGCCAACCTAAGGTTGCTGGTGGGACTGTTGTCTGGCCATAACACGTTAAGGCTTCACCTGCACGTGATGGGGGTGACTGAGGATCCCTTGTGCGAACGCTGCGGAGTAGAGGAAGAGACCTCGGCGCACGTTTTGTGTCGCTGTGAAGCTCTGAGCTACTATAGGCAGACTATACTGGGGTCCATTACTTTGGACCCTCAGGACGCCAAGGAGCTTGGACTCAAGGCGATTCTCAACTTCGCTAAAAGGGCGAGGCTTGTGATTTAAGTATTGTAGAGGTGCATAAGGGCCCGCTTAAGCGGCCTATGCACTGGCTCCTTATGGTGGCCGGGATGCCTCTAATTTTAAGATTCATTCATTCATATTATACATATGTACATACTTTGTATATATCTAAAGGGAACAAACCTATCTTCTTAAGTTTAAAGTGTTTTGTTTATTTTAAGATTTATATGTATACATATAGGTTTTAAATGTCTCATTTTCTTTGATATATTTGGTCACTAAAAATGCAATTTTGGTTGTATTTCTCTCATGCATACGTGCCTCTTGAACGGACACTTTCAGTCGGTTCCTTGGTGTCCTTCCAAAGGAGATATCACTGTACATCACGAAGAACCGTCGGTCTGAGACGTGACGTTATTTTTTATTATGAGTCCAATTTAATTTTAGGTGGTTACATTATTTTAACCTTGAAAAGGAAGACCACAATATATATCACAGAACATTCTGGCATCCAGAGATATACGACAAGCCTACAGTTCGCTTACGACCGCAGCTGAAGCTTAGCAAGCCTGCAATAGAAAGTAGCTGTGTATTAAACGATCTGGTTTTTACCAAACATACTAGCGGAAATAAAGTGATATACTGTCATACGACTCACATCTACCATAGTATGCCAGAAACTGTGGAGCACAGGAATATAAGGTTCAAAAATAGAGATCTTGTTATTGATGAAACTAGTATGATCGAGGTAGTTAGTGACGAAAAAATGGTAAGAGTTGACATAATATTAAAATACGCGCCTTTTTGACGTATGTCAGTATATATCAATTTTGTAAGGGCATGCAATCACACATACACCAGCGCATAACTTAAGCGTAACGTGTATTGGGGATAGAAATAAAAGCGGTCTTGAAGAGAACTTGTGACACAATATGATTTATCATGTTCAGATAAATATTTTTTTTATTTTATAGAAACCTCCGACAATGTCTTCTTTGCCAGATTTTGTACATGTGAAAAGGCCTCCTAAAAAGTTTCATTGCTGTATGACAGAGCTGCCATATTTCTTATTTTCCAACATGCCCAAGGTAAGTTATGTTTCCTAAGCATGATAGAAAAATTCGCCAAAGCGCGGAAAAATATTTAATATTCAATTATAGGTTGCAATTAGCTATACACGTACAGAACTACAATTATAGCCTTCACAGTTATTTTTGTTTTCTTCCATTTTAAAGATCTGCACATCTAAAAAATCTCCAATACTCGACTATACAAATAAAAATATAGATCAAAATGATAAATACAATCACCAGGCAACTCAAAATGCTTTTCATTTTTGAAAAAGACACACAGTACTTTCGAAAAACATTTTATAGAAAGCTGTAATTGCATGTAAAAGACAACGCATAAAAGTATTAATAATTGTCAGTTACAAATGTGGAAACAAGCTATAATTGGCAGTTGCAATTGGCTGTAATTATATCACGTTTGTTAGATGCCGTTTAACATGAATCGGGAGGTTGCCGGGCGTTAATCTCGTACAAATATCACGCGTTTATCGATTTTTTCGTTACGAACCGAGTTTTTTGGCTAAATAAAAAATTTCCTTAGTAACGCTCTTATAAACTCACCCTTTTCATTATAGATGACTGAATGTATGAAAAACCGGAAAAATGACGTATTTCAGAGCTCAAAAACTGATTTCTTGAAAGCTTTTGATAGCATCAATAATGAATTACTGATATGTAAAAGACGATACACAATTGTTAATAATATATAATAATAATAATAATAATAATAATAATAATAATAATAATAATAATAATAATAATGAATTTATTTTCCATTAGACATGCATGAACATGTATAGGTTTCGTCAAAAAGATACAATAAGTAAATATGTACAAAGTAAATAAATAAATAAAAAAACAAACAAATAACATCCAACAACAAACAAGTTAAAATTAGTGATATAAAACGATATTTAAAAACTGACAAAGTCGCTAATTGCATAAAAACAGTTACTTATAAAGTAGCTTTTCAGCTCACATTTGAATTGGCCTATTGAGGTGATCATTTTTATGGAGTCAGGCAGGTTGTTAAAAATTTTAGGACCTAAAATAGATGGTGATCTGCTGCCTAACTTATAACGCGCAAAAGGTATATGGATGTCGTTTTGTCTGCGAGTGCCCATTTGATGTATATGACTATTCAAGGTGAAATCATCTTTGTTTGAAAAAGTATAGATAGCCATATTGTAGAGAAAAAGCGAAGGCAGTGTCATTATTTTTAATCTCTTGAATAATTCTCTGCAACTATAAGTGCTGCTTACTCCCACCATACACCTCACCAGCCGTTTTTGACTTAGGAACACCTTAGAAGCGTTCACCGATGAGCCCCAGAAGCACAAAGCATACAGCATGCGAGACTCAACCTGACCATGATACAACATCAATAGCTGATTCTCTGTGAAAACAGATCTCAGGTTCTTGAATAAATATGCTTGTGAATTTATTTTTGATGATAGATAATCGCAATGTCCTTTAAAGTTGAGACATTGGTCTAAGTGGAGCCCTAAAAACTTAGTGCTTTTATCACTCTGCAGTGCTGAACCGTTCAGAACAAGCTGAATCGCTGGGATCGACTTTTGAATGTTATGGAACCTTATAACTGTGGTCTTCTCGCTATTAAGAAGTAACTGATTTTCTTCAAACCAGCTATTGATGTTGTACACTAAGGTGTTACATTTATTTATTAAATCAGCCTCGTCTTTATTTGATATAATGATGGAGGCATCGTCTGCATACAACGTGAAATGTGATTCAGGGAAACATTGCTCCAGGTTATTTATATAAAGGGAAAACAGCAATGGCCCCAATATAGATCCTTGTGGTACGCCTATATTTATGTTAACCATATCCGATTTGACCTGCTTCAGTTGACCAGCGTTGTTGTGTGTTATTGCCACGAATTGTGACCTATTCTGCAAGTACGATTTTATCCACAGGTAGGCTGAACCACCAATTCCATAGTCTGTTAGTTTGGCTAATAGTATGTCATGACTGACACAGTCGAACGCCCTACTGAGGTCACAAAATATCCCAACCGGGCATTCTCCTGCCTCAATACAGTAGACTAACCTGTTGATAAATGAATGACATGCGGTCATGGTTGATTTTCCAATACGGAAACCATGTTGATTGGATGATAGAGTGTCATTGCTTTCCAAGAACAGCAGAAGTCGATCTAAAAAACAATACTCAAGAATCTTGGAAAAACAGCATGGAACAGTCACCGGTCTGTAATTGCTAACCAAAGAAGTATCTCTTTTCTTAAGAATTGGAGTTACTTTTCCTGTTTTCAGGTTGTTTGGAAATACACCAGTGCAGAATGATAAATTAACTAGAAAAACAAAAGGTTTGTACAATAATATTTGCTTGACTAAGAAATTCGGAACTTCATCGGTGCCTGAAGAACACTTGTTTTTTAACTTATCATTAATTAGTTTATAGAATTCTTCCTCCAAGAACGGGTATAAAAACATAAAAGATTTTTGGTCGCAGGTATGATCACTTGGAACTGGATTTGTATCCTTAGATATTTTTTGAATAATATCCAAAGGAGCCTGTTTAAAATAGTAGTTAAAATAATTAGAAATTTCTTGTGGATTTCTAATGGTTAATCCATCATCAAGCAGTACAATGTTCTTTGGTACTCTATTTCTTCCGTTTATGTCAGAAACTACATTCCAGGCAGCCTTCATCACGTTGTGCGAATAGGATATTTTTTGTTGATAATATGCCTTTTTTGTTTTTCTGACAAGCTTCTGATGTTTTTTTGCATCTAGATAATGTTGTCTGTACTCAGGGATAATTGTTGACAACATATGCTGTTCACGCAAGCATGAACTCGACAACTTTACATTGTCATCGACCCATTTCTTGCTGTTGTTTTTAATCAGACATTTACGCAGTGGAAAATGTATTTGGAAGTGATGGTCAAACACTCGAAAGAAGTACTCAAATTCATTATTTATATCCCGGTAACTATACAGTGGTGACCAGTTTTCCTTACTTAAGTCTAAAACGAAGTTTTGAACAGACCGGGTATCAAAAACCCTTTTAACTGTTTCTTTTACCGCATCCTCAGCTTGAGGACATTCCATAATTTCTATAAGTACTGTTCGATGGTCAGATATTACATTATCAACAACGCAATTCAAACATTTATCATTGAAGTTGGTGAAAACTTGGTCTATCGTTGTGATAGACGTGCGCCCAATCCTTGTTGGCCAACCTACCTGTGGATGCAAGCCAAACTCAGACAGTGCATTCACAAGTGCCTCATTATCGTCGTTATGATTATAAGAATCTACATTGAAGTCGCCACAGAGAATTATATTTATATTTGGCCTAAAAACAAAATTTAGAGCCCTATTCAGATTGTCATGGAATATTTTCATATCTCCCGAGGGAGATCTATAGCACAAAATGATGATGCTACGTATACCACCATTTGAGAATTGAATGGCACACAACTCAATATTCTTATCCAGTGAAAACTGAGATACGTCAATAGGTTTTGCAATAACATCATCTCTACAATAAATCGCTAGGCCACCGCCTTTGTACGACGATCTAAAATATGAGCTAACTAACTGACAATTCTCAATAACAAAATTATTAAGTGATTCAGCTGTAGCCCAAGTTTCAGTTAGGCAGAAGAACTTCACTCTTGCATAGTCAGATACCATAACATGTAGCTGATTGACTTTGTCAATATTTAAGCATTGAACATTAAGCAGTATTAGATTAGGCTGGAAGGCTATGTCGATACATTATTTTAGTCCCAAGAATGTCGAAAATACTGTGGAAGTTTTACAAAATGATATTAATAATTTAATCCAATACTCTTCTGATCATAATCTGGCTGTCAACCCTCAAAAGTCTAAAATGTTATTTTGTGCTCAAAAAAAGAAAAAAGAAGGATGACTCAACGTCGCTCTTGAAGGTCCAAATAAGATATCAAAACTTACAGTCCTCAGAGTCTGCAAAAATGCTTAGTGTTGTTTTTGACACAAAATTGAGATTTATCGAACATGTCAACAGTTTTTCTCAGAAACTTATCTAAGGTTACGTACTCTAATTGCAAACAAATATCTACAAAATTTCGAGTTACATAATAAATTATATGAATCCTTGGTTCTAAATTATTATCCATGTTTGGACAGCTATACCAGAAATCTAATTCAAATCATCCCAAATAATTGTGTTCGTCTTATTTTTGGACTCCGCAAATCTGATCATGTGTCAGAATAATATCAATTTCTCATTTGGTTGAAAATAAATGATTTGGTTAAATATCACTACTCAGTTTCCATCCATAAATTATTGCTTACTTCTAAACCGTCTGTGATAAAAAAATCATTTAACGATATTCATTCTAGACCACTTAGACAAAATTATCAGGATACCTCAGTATTCAGCAACCTTATGTCTAGGCAGTTTCTCCTACAATGTTGCCACCATATATAATTATTTGGCAAAATTGTATAAACAATACTCATTATCAGATTTTCGACAAAAGGTGAAATCATCATTACTTCAATGACTTGATCACACAATAATGTTTTCTTTTACTTTCTTAACCGTCTTTTTTGGCTTTGCTACTTTTTGGTGTACTTTGCTTTGCTTACGCAACGGCACCTCAAAGATGCAGCGCGGCAAAACGGCAGAGCCGTCTAAGCGTTGCAATAGCTATTGGTCATTCGGCCATAAAACTACGGACAAATGCAGGATTCGACAGGATAGACAGGCTTGGGGTATCGCCGGCAGTTGCTGAGCATATTCGATGCGTACATATTGTGTGTTTATACGTTAGCATGTCATCTACGGATACAGCAGATGAAACTGAGAATATTTCTCCCAATGCTTCCTTCAGCCATGCTTCCTCGTCAGTGATGTCTCCTCCCCGAAAACGTAACAAGAAGGGACATTTGAATATTCAGGCAAAAGGAATTGTCCTTAACATTCTAGAAGCGAAATTTTAGAGCATCCTGAAATGTAAATCCATGATATTGAAAGACGTGTGGCGAACAAAACAGGCTTATGTCCTAAGATAATTTTCAATATTGTTAAAGAATATAAAAAAATGGTCTCCACCACACAAGAGGCTGGATACAGTTAATAACTTTGATCGGAAGGCGACCAGATGCAAAGCCCATCAACGTTTTGAAAGGCAGGAACTTCCCACCATAGACAAGGTATTACAGGAGGTTAATAATGATGAAGACTTGCCAACTTTCTTAAGGACCACATTCTATAGTTTATTCAAAGAATTTTATTTTGAGTATAGAAAGCGGGGCAGAAATAGTATTTTGATGGACATCCAAGAGATTATTTTATGGGGAATAAATTATTTAAAATAAATAAAGAAATACTGCGACCAAGGCGGGAAGATGTATTACTTGGATGAAACCTGGATAAATGCAGGACATACAAAACCTAAAGTATGGGCCACTCTACAATTGAATCAGCAAGACAAGCCTTCTTAGATGGACTAACCACTGGCCTAAAGAATCCGTGTACGTGTATCTAACCAATTCGTCATTTGTGTTGTAAAAATAGTGTCAAGTAGAGTGAATCTATGAGCCCACGCTCTAAACTTAGCTATATCTGCTAGATTTGGAACCAACACCTGTTAGATACTCTGCTTGTACCTGTATTATTATTAGTTTTCTTGAATACTATAGAAAATAATTATTTCAGGATAAGAAAAGCGATTTGTTATCTGTCACATGGGCAGTGAAGATGGCTTTGTGCCCACTGCCCTATGGGCATTTGAGTCAAAGAAAACAACCGACTACCCTGAAGAAATGGACGGGAGTTCATTTGAACGATGGTTTGAAGAAACGCTCCCAAAGCTTGACGACAATGCCGTCACTGTACTTGATAATGCTGCATACCATACTAGAAAACAAGAAAAAAATCCCACAATGTCCACTAGAAAGGCAGAAATTCAACAATGGCTCCTATCAAAAGACATTAGTTTCAATGAAAATATGTTCAAAGCAGAACTTATCCATCTACTCAGGCAGCCTAAATATAAATATAATCTTAATGTTGTTGACGAAATGGCTAAAAACCAAAATAAGACCGTTTTAAGGCGAATTAAAACCCATTGAAATGATTTGGGCAAATATAAAAAACTATGTGGCTTCATACAATAGAATATTCAAATTTTCTGACGTGAAAAATTTGTTTTATGAACCTGTAAACAGTGACGGCAAACCATTGGAAAGATTGCATCCGTCTCGTTCAAGAGACAATCGAAAAAAAGATGTGGGATTTGGACACTATGATCGATATTCAAATTGAACCTGTAATAATTAATATTAACCATTCAGACTATGACTCAAGTACTTCCAGCGAATAAAGAATTGTGAAAAGTATGTGGACCTCTTTCTATGAAAATAATTATTTATTTTGTTAGATTATTCCATGACCATTGAGGAAAATGCGGACCTGTACAATCTTCCTTTTGGGCATGTTGTTTTTTGTCTGGGCGTAAATGGACTACGAATGGGCTTATGGAATATTCCGGATGCGTTGTCTAGACGATTCTCGTACACGGTGAGACAGTGATAATTTTCATTAGCAAAGATCTTCAATTTTTTAGGCATCTGCAGCGCCGATTTCACTGTACTGTTACTCCCGGAAGGCAGCATGGGACATGCACAAGCATGCTGTTGAAACCGGCTTCAACCATCTAAACCACCAATGGGCGAAAGTCACTGGTCAAATGGTCAACTACAAGTCTGGACAGCGTTGGTTTCCTGAATTCCAAAACTGTCTGGGTGAGCTTCAGCCTATCCACGGCTGGTCAAATATTGTTATACCCGACAAAGAATGCTTAGTAACTGATTCAGGGAAACTTTCTGTGTTAGACGGGTTATTAAGAAAGCTGAAGGAGGAGGGCCATAGGGTTCTGATTTACTCGCAGATGACAAAAATGATCGATTTATTGGAGGTTAGTACTCATAGTAGGAAATGACAACTTCCTTCCCGTCTTGTGATGTTTTAACAAAGGCGTGTTTTATTTTCAATGCTTTTGAAAGGAGTACCTCTGAATGAATCACCCGTTACGATTCTAGTCTGATACTGAAAAGGAAGACAAATAGTACGGTACTATTGACGAGGGGTCTGTGTGGCGTACGATGTGTTATGCTCTTCCATTTTGGTATCTGAGTATAGTATATGTATATTTTCAGGAATATATGTGGCACAGACATCACAAATACATGAGACTAGATGGTTCTTCTAAAATATCGGAACGAAGAGACATGGTAGCTGATTTCCAGGCTAGGACCGATATTTTTGTCTTCTTGCTATCTACGAGAGCTGGAGGACTTGGAATCAACTTAACTGCCGCTGACACGGTAAAAATATTATTTTGAATAGTGGTTGTATTTGCTTAGAATTGCATTACGACATATTTTTTTTTGTAGGTTATATTCTATGATAGCGACTGGAATCCGACAGTGGATCAACAAGCTATGGACAGAGCTCATAGGTTAGGCCAGACCAAACAAGTAACAGTGTATAGGTTGATATGTAAACGAACTATTGAGGAACGAATATTACAGAGAGCCAGGGAAAAGAGTGAGGTACTTTCTACAGTATGTTCTAGAATATGTAGGGAACCTCTCGGATTTATACAGATGTTACAAAATAGAGCCTATTTTATCATTGATTTAAAAACATATAAAAGCAGTGCAACGTTTGCTTTATAATGTTAATACAAAAATTGTAGTTTAAAATTACCATTAAAAAAAAGTAATTTCTGAAAACCTCATGTACTGCAGATTTGGAAAATAAGTGCCAAAAGCAGACTCCCAGTAAAATTTTTTCCTTGTCCGCAAGTGGCACAACATACTTCTTTTCCTACTACCTGCCTTCTTCCATACCATATCTTTATTTTGAAAAAACAAAATTTCCCTCTATCAGTCTTTACGATTATCTTTTGTGATCCTGTAAAAGGATTTCATAAGAATACTCGCGTTTACAAATAAAGCAGACGCTATGCATAAATAAACAGTATAGATAACGCTTTGTATAGTTCATTGAATTGAAATTGCTCCTGGTATAAGAACAGAATTAGCTGGTTTTAAGGCCGAATTTTTTATATTGCTATCTTTCTGAGAAGAGATTATTGGGGGAGGTTCTAAACTAACGGCTGCTGATCCAGGGTCCTTTTTCGAAGATCAACGATTCGAAGTAGATCAGTGACATAACTGACAATTTTTTGTCACTGGTGACCCAGTTCTCTACATTAAAAAAGCTGCCAAACGAAATCAAAAACGAAAATAGAAACACAAAAAATGCCGAAAAAGAAAATGAAAAGGGATTTCAAGTGGAAGATGTGATAAAAATGAAGGATTATACAATTCACATACAAGATTTGGTGATAAAAGAGCTGCAAAAGAAGAATGCATATCTGCAAGTGAAATTAGATGAATTACAAATTTAAAAAAATGGAACTAAATCATTTGCAAATGCTGTGTAAAGAAAAAGAAGTAAATCTAGATAAAGACACTGACGTTGCTGAAGTTCCCACTCTATCAAACACGAAACAGAAACACATGCAGAACCCCGAGTAATAGTCAAAGATACAAACATTAATAGAAATTTGGTTACCTCTACAGTACAACCAGAAAAGACAGTTATAATAAAACCAAACGATAAAAGTCGAAACTGTTTACACACAAAAAAGGTACTCAGCAAATATATAAATCCTGCAAAAATGATGTCTCCATAAAAAGATTAGCGATCAGAGAGATGGGGCGGTGAAAATTGAATGTAATAATGTTGACATCATAAAATTGAAGTTAGAAGGAGAAAAACATGTCGGACACAGTTATAAAGTGAGTTTTGGGCATAGGAAGTTACCAATGATTAAAGTTGTAGGCTTCAGTGAGGAATTCGATAAAGAAGAGCTGATTAGAGACTTGAAAGAAAAACAATATTATAAGCAGTGATTCGATGATAAGTGTAGTGGCAATTAAAAAGATGAAATACAGATATCGGGCAATTCTGGAATTAGATGAGCAAACATTTAAAATAATTATGAAAGAAGGATTACTGTTTGTATCAATGGATGTGTGTACAGTGTTCGAGCATTATGATCTTCTGAGGTGCTTTAACTGCTCAGGATTCCACCATACAGTTAAAAACTGCACAAAGAAGAGTGCATGAAATGTGGTGAGACTGGTCATCAGTCTCAAACCTGTAAAACACCAAAAAAATGAGGTGAATTGTCCGAACTGAGAGGAATCTTTGAGGTATAATACAAATTTTGACACAAACCACTCACCGTTCAACAGAATATGTCGAATAATAATACAAATGGAATATGAAAAATCAAAAAACAAAGTTTGCTATGGAGACAGATCATAGCAATTACAAACAAAACAAGCTGTAAACTATATATACCACTTAAACATTCAAGGATTTTTGTCACATACAGATGAGGTTTTAAATTTCTTGGTGATAGAGAAACCATTAATACTTTGTTTAACAGAAACACATGTAACAGAAGATATTGAGTAGGGAGAGATCGATATTTACGGCTTTTAAGTTTCGAAGCATACAGGTGGTATATTGATATATGGGTATTTCTCAACAAATTTAGAAATTTCATTTTGCATTTCTTAAAAGAAAAATTGAAAATATATCCTTTTTTTGCAGAAATGTAAAGTTTTACTTTAGTAAGGTTCATTTAAAATGAAGGTCCTCCATATTTTCGTGTATAACATGTAGAAAAATGACTTTTAAAACCTATGAAATGAGGGAATTACTGATAGGATGGGGGAAAGATTGTTATAACAATTTGATGCTGAATTTCAATAAAAAACATGAGTTAATTTATTAATAGATGTATTGAGATCTTTTTTATACTTTAGAGAGCTTAGATTGTCCCCTGGGCACATTCTCGTATTTTCATCCTTCTCTAAAAAATCAACTCACCCTTAACGTTCAGCATTTTGGAGCTAACTTTACGAGTACAGTTGTTTGTGTACGTATCGTTTTTGAAAAAATGTTTTGATCTATATAGCAATTTGTATTTTTGCACTTCAACATTTTGTAATATTTTTTCTTTTCCCCATGTTTATTTCCATGATCTACATAGTTATTCTTGAGGTCCGTTGACAGTGATTCTCCGAATATGAGTCTTTTTCTTACAACGTCAGGAACTTGTATAGTCTTTAAAAGCGAAGACACTTTAGTTGCTGGAGAGTTTGGGTCAGTATTTTTTGTTTTCAATCTCAAATACCTCTTCTTGTATTTTTCACTAAGCTTGACTACGTTCCTTACTTTATTTTCCAAACTTTTAATTTTCGCATACAGAATAGCTCGCCGCTTGTGCAGTCTACGTCTATTGAGAGCAGATACATTCTCTGCTCTGTGCTGTAAAGATGGTGAAGGTTTTGGTGGGGCTGTTTCTTCAACTTTTCTCTGTAAATTTGTTTGTAATGTAGCACGCTTTTCCCTATAAAATTTACTATTATTTTTCCATTTTTTTTCGTTTTTGGCTAGCTTCTCTTGCACTCTTTTACTGTTCTTCTTTAAATACTTTAATCTTTCTTTTTCACGTAAAGCTTCTAGAGACTCAGCATTACTTTTCATTTGTTCTCGTCTCTTTCTGTCGTACACCTTTTTTAATTTCCTTTCTTCTTCACTTAACTTCTTCATTTTCCCCATTCTTGGTGTACGGATATCTGTTAAAATTGAAAACACATGCTGTACAACCACAATTTCATGTTATGTATGCAAAAATAATTACCTCATATCATTGTCATTCCCTCAATTTCTAATATAGTGAGGGAATGACGGATTTGCATAAACGACACCTTAACCAACAGTACATCACCTCAAATTGATTTAGCATTTTGTGAATCTATTTTACTCCACAAAACAAGAAAAGAATCATTAAAACATTCGAACAATATAATGACTTACCTTTTAATATAAACAGTGAGGTAATGACACAGAGAAATGTAATGTTCTAATTATTGAAATCCAATACTTTTTTGCAGCAACTCTTTTCACATTATTAGCAGTATTGCCAAGTTTTAAAACCATAACAGCTGCCTCCAAAATATCAAATGGTGTGGCCACAAATCGAATATTTATTATGAGTGAGAGAATGATTTTATTTCAAGGGACATAATGTTTAAATAGATTTTTTTATATACATATTTATTTTTTAGCAATGAAAACTTGACTAAATCCATACTTATTACCAAATATTTTAGTAATATTCAATTCATAAGAATATGAACAGATTTGATTGTATATATTTTTTTGCTATTAATTTCGGACCCAGGGACGAGATGAGGGAATGACTTTTAGACTAATAAATTAATCGTATTTTCTTTGTGTCAATATATTATCTAAATTTTTGCTTTTAAAATATTAGTGTATTGATATTATAAAAATGTTAAATTGATGATAAATCCATGCAACTTAGCATCAATGGCTCAGGACAATTTCGAAATTTGCTGAGAAATACCCATATACACTATATAGCATTGAAGTCAAAGTACAGAACATTGAAGTTGTTGGATGTAAACATCGCGTATACAATGAATACAATGTATACAATGATGGAGACAATGTATAGAATAGCATAAGTGAGGTTAGGTTTATTCGCAAACGTCAGAAAGTTGGAAAACAGTGAACCGAGAACTCAAAAAAAATATGGTTGGACGCTCCAAGAACAGAGAAATCGATGAGCTAGGGTTCATTTGTTGTTCTTAATTTATTTAAAACTGTATCTTTGTATACGTATATAAATAAATATTATATATTTTTTCATTATTTATAAACTGCTTTCACAGTCAAACCAATAATGCAGTGTTGCAGAATTTGTATCTATCCTGAACTTCCAGTTCCACCTAAAATCGGAGAACGATTAGGATCGATCTGGAATTGATCCCAAACAGATTCGACAGAAATGTGTATTTGAGCGTAGAAAACAAGGCATTGCAGCAAGTTATAGCTGTGTTCTGTGGCCTTCATCACTATTGTGCTAGGCAACGTGGTGTGTGGCGCACTCTTTCTACACAAGTGGTGCCGGCTTATCCCCCTCTCTCTCTCTTCCTCGTACACATGGAAATCTAAAAGGGAAAGGGACTTTCGGCAGCACTATATGCAAATAATTGAACTATGATTTGCTATTGTATACATTATGTACATTTTATACATTGTATACGTGAATATCAGAACGTATATATTCACCATTGTATACGCGTATACAATGGTGTATTTATTATACATGGTGTGTACAATGCGCCCATCACTGGTGATACATTAATCTGGAAATAATGATACACAAAAATTACAAACTGTATTTTTATTACCGATCTCCAAGTGGAAGCGTCAATCGATTTGTTGAATTTTTTGAAAGTATATGTGAAAAACATTACAGGAATTGCACAAATGTACATTTAGGAGACTTCAATATAAATTTTGACAGCAAAGATTTCTATGTTAGAACATTTAAACAAGTACTAAACTTCCATGGATTATGGCAGAAAATAAATGACTATACAAGGATTACGAACTTTTCGAAAGCAAAAATAGATTTGCTCATAACTAATGAACAAAATCTAATTGCTGAAGTTAAGCATACCCTAAAGATAAGTGATCATTCATGGATATATTTCGAAGTGGGAAATATGTTCAATGAAAATACAAATGAAAGAAATTACAGTCATTGAATTCACAAAATTACGAGAAACACTTTTACAACACAATATACCTGAAATTATCGATAATGCCGACAACTACTTCGAACAAATTATGAATAATATGGATACATATATTAGTGAAGCTATGGTCAAGAAAATAATATATGAAAGAGTGAACCCAACACCCTGGTTTTCACAGATATTCAAGGAGTCTAAATTGAAACGCAATAACGACTGCAAAAAATTTTCAATAACCCAAAGTGAAAATGATTGGAAATAATATACAAAATCAACATATGAGTATGTAGCAATTCTCAGGAGGGAAAAGAAAAAATACTATGTAAGAAGATCGATAGCAATAAAAATAATTCTAAAATGACGTGGAAAACATTAAAGAATATTGTTTCTCCTAATAGAAAGACTGAATCATCTAAAATGCGTTTCGAAGATGGGGTAGTGACAGACAAATTAATTATAGTAGAAAGAATGAACACTTATTTTATAGAAAGTGTAAATCAAATAGTGAAGACGATTGATGACGGTGATCCAAACTTATGTCCATTACAAGTACGTCAGAACTCATCAATGAAGCAATTCAACAATCTAAGAAAAGCTATCTCAAAATTGAAATCTAATAAAAATCCAAGTGAGAATCTCTCAAAAAATATTCTAAATGATTGTTTCAATATAATTGGAGAGAAATTATTATTATTGGTGGATCATTGTTTAGTACATGGTGAATTCCCATCAAAATTAAAGTATTCCACCATTACTCCTGTGCCAAAAGTTCAAAATTCTCAGCTGTATACAAATATGAGACCGATTAATGTCTTTCCCGATGTCGAGCAGCTGTTCGAAGGGATAATATACGAACAAATCATAGAATTCATTGAAGAAACAAAAAATTTGATAAAAAAACCAAGCTGGAAAAAATTTTCCACAGAAACAGCAATCCAAATGGTGGTGCAAGACTGGAGAAGAAGTAAAGATGAGAAAGGATATATTGTAACAGTATTTTTAGACTTCAAAAGGGCATTTGAGACTGTAGATAGGGAAAAATTGTTAATGAAATTGCTTCACGATGGCTTTAAAGGATCAGTATTATACATTTTACAAAATTATTTAGTAAATGGATGTCAAAAAACTAAAGTTGGAAATATTATGTCAAGTGTTCAAAATATATCAGTAGGGGTGCCACAGCGGAGTAAATTAGGGCCATTAATATTTATTATTTATATAAATAAATCTCTGACATTTTAGAATACTGCAAAATTCAAATATTTGTGGACGATACACTTATATATTTATATAGCACATAAGCATTTGGACACTGCTTTAGAACTGTTAAATAATGATATTGAAAAAATTATGAATTGGTTAAATGTCAATAGACTAATAAAACAAAATGTATGTCAATAGGGAAACATTTAGGTGACAATGCAATTAGGCTCATGATTAATGATGAAAAAATTGAAGTTGTCGAGTCATTTAAATATCTTGGTATATATGTGGAAAGTAAGCTACTGTCTCACGAACATTATGAATACATTATTTCAAAAATATCGAAAAAGATAAATTACTTCTATAGAGTTTCCCATAATCTTAGTATGTTTTCCAAAAAAATTGTGTATATCACTATAATTCTTTCCCATTTTTTATATTTTTCAACCATCTTGTTTACAGCAAATGAAAACATATTTAAAAAATTACAAATTTTACAAAATAAAGCTATGAGAATCAAATTTAAATAAAAACAAATATACTAGGATTAAGTCTATGTTAGAAGAACTACAGTGGTTGGATGTGAAAAATTTCATATATTATTTAGTTCTCGTTTTCATATTCAAATTAAAAGATTATTTATTACCACCACATTTAGAAAACTTCACAAAATTAAATAGTCATCATAACTACGAAGCTAGAGGCAGTATAGATTGCAAAATTGTAATAGTATTTCAATTTAATAAATTGAAGAATGATATTCGAATTTAAAAATGTTTAAGGTGAAATTAAAAAATCACTTTATGAATATTCAAAATACATACGTAATTTTAATAGATAAGAATGTAAAATTACAGGAAATGGATTGAAGAGAAATATGTAACCGAATCATTATACAAAATTGACATTGTAGCATTAATGCTAAATAAATCTTCAACAGCAAAAAAAACCGGGAAATGGATCTGATTTGCAAGACTAAACTAAGAACTTGTTTATCGGAAAAATTTTCAATCAAATACCTAACTAAACCAATTTTATGAGAAAGGCGAATCTGGGATCTTGTCATTTGAGAAATAAATAAAATTATTTAGGTAAAAAAGCTTACCTGCAAATGGCTAAGAGTGATAATAAAAATTGCAGCACTGTGCAAACAATTTTTCCAAGACACACAATGGGACTCACAAGCAACAAATGACTAGAGTTGCGCGTGCGCTTCACTATGGCGTGGTAGATGCCTAAGGTACTATTTACACTTGGAAGCAATGAAGTTTAAAATCAGAGCCAGGGGTCTGTTTTAGGGGAGGGATCCGGTACAAAACCTTAAAGACCGTCACTAAAAAGTAGGGATGCATTTATTGTAAAGATGAACTTTGATGCAATACATTAATATTCCAGAAAAAAAGACATTGATGTATAAAAGCATTTCCTAGAAAACATCGATTTTTTTTAGTCTGTGAAAGAAATGAGTCTAATGAGCTAGTAAATATCTATAACAAATTTGATTTGTATGAAACAAATTTTGGTTTTTAGTCTTTATATACAAGAAAAATTAAATTATACTTATGCATATACAGGCTGGACAGTTCAATTAATAGTACCAAAAATTTGGTATGTTTCAGAAATATCAGTGTACCGTCTGCATCCATACTGGCTTAAGTTTTTTGCACCCTGTCAAATAAAGTCTCAAGAACAATTTTAGGAGGCCTCATTCTCTCTCCGAGATTTCCCAAATAATATACGACGATTTAATGATACGGGAACTAAAATTCTTGTTATTTTCAGATTCAAAAATTGGTTATCAGTGGCGGGAACTTCAAACCTGATACGCTTAAGCCTAAAGAAGTTGTTTCACTGCTTCTTGACGATGACGAACTTGTACAAAAGTGTAAGTCTTATATTGGAATGAAACAAAAACAAAGATAACGTAATTGTGTTTCAGATCATTTGAAGATTGACAACACTGTAGATGTCAAAGATGACAAAAAACGAAAGTTGCCTCCTAAGGTAAATCTTCTTCTTTAAATGTGAAAATGAATAATAACTGATATTCCAGTAGTGATCATCACAAAACCATTTTTGAAATGTTGATTTTGCAAAAAGTCGTTTTTTGGTCAGGTATCCCCTGGTGGCAGTGAATCACCTAAGAAGATAAAGCAAGAGGTACTTTCGCCGAGTACAGGTACAACTACAGAGGAGAAAAGCAGTACTATGAATTTGTCAATTGATAGTATGCCTAATAGTCCAGGAAGCATTGCCTCGTCAGATGTTGTTAATGAAGAGATAGTTGAGACCATGGTAGATGGTACTGAATCGCCAGTAACTAACAGTAAGTATACAGGCTGTTTTCAAAGTTGGGTCATTTATTTTAACTGCTTGTAGGACTCTTCAAAAGGAGTTGATATACCAAAAATCACCTATATAAAAGTTGCATAATAAAAGAAATAGTAAAAGATTGACCAATTTTAAAAATAAGAATGTTATTACACATATTTTTTGATATTATAGACCACTGCCGTGTCAGCGTTTTTTACTACTCTTATCGTTTATCTAAATTTGGCAAACCTTTGTTTTGTATGGTCTTTACTTCGATCAGTTGTCAGTCTTTTAATAGTGCGTATACTTTCATTTGGCTGATTATTTTGTGCGAAAAAATGTTTACGAAAACAATGCACATAATACGAAGAGTGCCAACAACATGCAGCCGCAGCACGCAGGTTGTATGCGGAAAGGTTTCTTTTAAGAAATTATCCGGCCCCACGGATGTTTGTAAATTTAGTTATTAAACTTCGAGTCACAGGATAATTAGAAGAACAACGAGGAGGTCACGCCGGAAGACCTACACAACCTGAAATGTTACAAATTGAGAAAGACGTTTCATAAATGGTCGAAGACGACCCAACAATGAGTACTTGAGCCACCGCAGCTCAAGTTTAAGTTTTTTATAGTAAAGTGTGTCGACAGACTGGTGAAATTTATTTAGATTTTCTTCGACACAGTCTGCCGCAATTACTAGAAGATGATCCTCTAAATGTGAGACAGAATATGTGGCTCCACCATATTTTGGATGAGAAGTTCATGAAGATCTAAATAATGAGTTTCCGAATAGATAGATAGGGCGCAAGGGACGCATTTCTTGGCCTGTTCGCTCCCCAGATTTAACGCTTTGCGATTTTTTTTCTGTATGATTTTTGTAAAAAAATATGTAATAATGCAAACTAAATATCTTACTATGCAACTTTTATATTGGTGATTTTTGGTATATCAACTTTTTTTGACGAAAGCACCGTGTCTAAACAGTGGATTATCAAACCTTCAGGATTATTACGTAAAAAGCTATACACGGTGTCCCATTTTAAACTTCGCACCTAAATATTTCGGAAACTTCGCATTCTAGATAAAAAAGTTTGGAATAAATAGGGTTTTAAGGGGGCAAAATGATTGAGACCTAGATAATGATCCTGACTATGACCTTCAAGGTCAAGTGAGTATTGAATACAACACCCTTTCACATTTCACATCGAAATTGTAAAGAGGAGCAAATTTTACGTTCGAGCATCACCTTGGCTATGACATTGATCACTGCCCTCAGGGTTAAATCAAGACATCAAAAACAGTTTCCTGTGGATTTTTGCAGTGATCTCAACAGTTGGCTCATGCATGTATTTACGCACACTGCATGGTCATAGTTTAGTACAAGGGTTGTTTCAAAAATGAGGTTCCCACTTTTTTCAGGCACACGTAAGTTTTTATTTGAATAAACAAGTTCACCATTGGAAACGCTGATCTTTAAGCTATTTTTCTCCATAGTCGTCATTTTTTCCACGCATTTTTTTCACTTTTGCACTCCCGCCTCGAGGAAGTTCGCCGCCAGCCCGTTTAGAAACTTGGTAACTGATCCTTGCAACTCCTCGTCCGTTTCGAACCGAAAAATCGCCTAGGTGCTCCTTGAATTTCGGAAACACTATGTCAGTGCGATGGGCAATGACTTCTCAGCCAAATCGCTCGATTTAGTCTTTGTGAGACATGAGGATGCGCATTGTTGTTCAGTCTAACGCTTTGCTGAGTATTCCCCTACGACGATTTTGAATTGCTCGTTTCGGCTTTTTCAGAAGCCTCAGGAATTTGAACCGCCTGTTCCCTTATTGTCATTCGCCGCAAGATTTGCTCAATCCTCGCTTCAACTTCCTCAGAGATCGACGGCCTCCTGCTTCGTTGTTCATCGTGGATGTCTGTGCGGCCATCAGAGCTCTCTCCACCATTTGAGGACATGTTGAATGCTTATACGTATTTCCCTACATACTTCACTCAAGTGGCGATACATTTCTATGGGTGGTAACGATTTTGCGTGCAAAAATCGGATACCGTGCGAATTTCGCACCTGGCGATCAAGGGCTCCATTGCGAATGGCTGTCCGGCCGGTACTGAGCATCGCAAATAGGCGCTTCTTGTTGAGATCAGTGGTGGGGGGCAAACACAACGCTGTTTCCATATTTCGCCTAGCATCACGCCCGGCAAAGATACAGCGTTGGGAACTTTATTTCTGAGACAACCCTCGTACATTTCATGACTTCTTGCACTAGTTGTGCGCTTCACTTCAGACCTAATTCAGGGAATCGAATCACTATCAATTCGGTGATCTATTGCCAGACATTTTGAATTATTTGTATATATAGCTGTTTCATTGGGCTTTAATTTAAAATCATATGGTGTTTCAAGTTCTAAAAACATAGTCAAAACTGTTTATCTCATTTTATTCCTACCTGTCTTGAAATGTATACGAGATCATTAGCAGTCATTTTGCTTGTAGCGTTTTTTTGCGCGAACTTTTCTAAATAAGAGTTTTTAGCAAGTACATAATACGGTAATGGATACTCGTGTAAAAAGTATAAGCAATTTACTTCGAAAGAAAAATGGGGTCATGATAATTGAATTTGTATATGTATATTAACGTCCTAATACATCATAGGATTTTACAAAAGTCTTCAATCATTTCAATGCTTTTCTGCTGGTATCTGTTGGAGTTGAAATTTTGTTTCTGTTTCAGAATATACAGTCTACAATATCTATGGATCAGCTGTGAAGCCTAGAGTATCTGGCAGAGGAACTTCAAGACGTGGAAGACCTAGAGGGTCTAGAAGTAGACCTTATGGATTAACCAGGAACTATACGCCTGGAGCACCACCTTCGATTAGCGGAGTATTTTCAGGAGGTAAAGCATAACACTGAAAGTAAAAAAAATTCTGTACTTTATGAACTTTTATATTCCATATTTCAAAAAATCTCATCAAATTCTGTGACCATGAGGAGATACAACATGCTGCAAAATTCAGAAAATTCTTCTGTACATTTTTTCCATTATTTATTTATATAACATCCATTTCCTCCTGGTTTGTATTTGACAGTCTTTGTTGAAGTTCTCGTGCAATTTAGCAAGTTTGTTTATTTCTATCGTAGCTTTTTCTACCAATTTTTGAAAATCGATCCAGCACGAAAAAATAAAAATCGCTCAAACTTCGTTTTTTGCGTTTCATATGCTCCTGATCATTTTCGGAAAAAATTCTGTGACTATACTTGCCATCATTTTTTTATTTTTCTTTTTAGATTCTTTAGAGTCGATATCGCCCCAGAGTTCAGAGTCACCTGCTGGAGTATCTTCAGCATCGACGTCTATACCCACCACTCCAGTAATCAGAAGAGGTCCTGGAAGACCGCGGTTGAAACCTGGAGGTCCTGCAAATGCAGGATCGAGGGGTACTTACAGGGCAAGAAAACCTGCTAGGCCATTACCAGTACCTATTCCTTCGGATGGTACCAATATCACGTCTACGAGCAACACCAATGCTAGCTCACAGTATTTGAATTACTCGTTCTATGATTTTTCTGATGATTAATTAGTGCGAACATGTGAAAGTACAGGGTGGTCGATATGTAAACTGACTGGTTTGTATCTTGAATATTTGTGTAATGAAATAGAATACGTTAATTTTTTTCATCTTTATCTTTTGTTACGATTATCTATAATTGTTAGTTTACCGGTTGCAATTAGCGATAACAATCAGTTACAAGATGCAATTAGCTATAATTCGCGAGATTGCAAGTTGGAATTAGCTATAACTGTCAGATACGAATTGCAATTAGCTACTATCAGTTACAAACATCAATTTAGATGACTGACAATTATAGATTGCGACGCAGGATTTTTTCTTAACCATCCGCACAAGTGCAATCATGCATGCATCAATACTGTTCTCAATTGTGTGTTTTTGTTTGTATGTTGTACTATATATGGATTTGTATCGCCGCTTGTGTCTTATGCCGACGACATTCGATTAAAATTTAGATTCTAAGGATTGTAGAATCAGAATCTAAATAGACCAACATCCAAAATAGACGCATAACATTAAAGTGAGTTTTTTTGCCGATACTTTGAAATTCTCAACCTTCATTCGTGCCGCTATTGCGACTTATAAACAATAATTATAGCTAATCGCAGCTTATAACTTAATTATAGCTAACAATTCTATATTGTAAGTGGCAATTACAAACAATTGCAACTTACAATTATATCTGATTGCCACTTGTAACTGACAATTGTAAATAAAATATTTTTTCTGCGATATCCTTTCCAGGCTTTCATAGCTTTCTGTTAAATGTTTATTGACGGTATTGTGTGATTTTTCAGAAATGATAAACATGCTTTTTTGAGTTGCCTGGTTACTCCGTCTGTAACTTTGATATGCAGGGTGAGTTTTTGATGTGACTTCGGTCGAGAATTCTGTTATTACGCACGGTATCTAAAAAAAGTTTTAAAAATTGTAGCCAACAGTATGCTGGTTACTTAGAAAATATGTTTATCTCTACAGGGTGATTCATAATTACTTTGAGAAAAAAACTTGTGAAAAGGGGAATAAAAAATGTGGAAATGTACAGGGTGTGCCATTTGAAAATTTTGATTAATAGTTCATTTTGCCTTCTTGGCCTTGAAAAATTAGGTAGATAGGTACAAAATATGGGAACGTAAAATTCTCCTCACGAAAAACTCAGTAATCTAGCTATAAAAGTGGCGGAGGTGCAAGTTAGTTGAGTGTTTTTTCCGATAGATTGTCCAATATCTCAACAATTTGAAAGTAAAACAGCATATGTTATTCACTCCGTTTAAAACAACCTATCCAAATCTGCAATAAAATGTCCAGTCGAAAAAATGTATGTTTGGGGCACCGCGTAATTATGAATCACCCTGTAGAAATAAAAATATTTTTCAAGGACTTCAATTTTCATAACTAACATTTTTAGATATCATGTGTAATGATGGAGTTACCATGGAAGCCCACACTAAAAACTGGCCCTGTACTTATTTGTGTAACCGCGTGAGTATTGGGTATTTTTTAAAGGTGTAGAACTTTGGAATGAAATGAAGCAGAAATACTGGATATAGATGTAATTCTGTATTACAATATAGCTATTAAAATGATTTCTTTTGCTCTGATACGTCTAAAAAGACAGATTTGAAAAGACGTTTCACATCCTTTTTGTGGCCGTACTCATTAGGCACTAAATAGTTTTGTATATATAGATGTTGATTCGAATGTGTAAATATTTGTTATGTATATAAACATAGGTTAAATATTTTAATTTATGAATATCAATCAATTATTTCACTTTTTATCCTTGGTGACTTTTATAACTATCAGTTGAAACTTTTCCTACCATAAGTTTTATATTTATTTGAATATGAATTTATAGACTTTATTGGCTCTGATACTTTTTACAATTTTAACAATTGTACGTTTGACCAAAAGTGATACCACCAACACAATTTTTTGCTAGTATTTGATAATCTACCATTAAGCTGCGTTTAAGAATACTTTTGACAGGCACGAGCCACATCTCTAGAGGTGAAATGCTACAGTATGTCACATGATTTCAAGAGAACTGTATGCAAATAATTCTTTGCATAATGAAGCATTTCAGTTCGTTATATTTGACAGACGATTTTCAATCGATGCTTGTCAGTGTTTTTCAGACTAAAATGCAAAAATAATTTTCTCTTACACCTCTCTTATTTAAAAAAATATGTTTTTAGATTTCTCGTCCAAATACACTACTCAAAAAAATTAGTTAAGAAAAAAATCATTTTTTCCAGTGATTTTTACAGGTTGTATTTTGGTGAAAAATGCTCATATCTAGACTTGAAGAAATGCATTTTAAAGCTTTAGGATTCTAGTTTTTAGGTTTTTTAGCCGAAAAATTTTAGGAGTAACGGTTCTTATGCAATTTTACATTTTTTGAAAATTTTTCCCTTTCTTTTTAGTCCACGGACTTGAAAATTGTTGGACCACTATATGGATCAGATAGTCCGCTTATTCAGCTTCAGTATCCTATATCCTTTGGCGTGGAGATTTCTGACTTTAAATGAAAAAGGATGCTTTTGTCACCGACCACTGATATCTCGGTAGCCAGTGATCGCACAGAGATTGTAAGGGTATTTCCGAAAGTTTTTATTGCAATCTTTAAGGAATCTGTTTTGTTTCCCCAGTAAAAGAAGGCAAAATTTTTGCAAAAAATTTTCATTGCGCTGTCTGTTAGACTTTCATTGCTCCTAAATGTTTTTAGCTAAAAAACTGAAAATGCCTTTTTGAAGTCTAGGTCCTACCATTTTCACCAAAATTTTGGATTTTTTTCTTGCTCCCTTAATCTTTTTGAGTAGTGCATATAAAAAAGGTCAGTTTATCCAATATTTACAGACGAATATTTTGGTCAGATTATTTATACATGTGAAAATTTCTTTATGCATTGTACAGATGAAATGTATTCTATATATCTTAATTTTGTGTGTTGTCAATTTTGGAACTTTCTCCTTTTCAACTCGCAAATATACAAGCGTTCATTTTTCTCCATATTTGATTTCAATTGTTTTTCTTTCGAATTAATTTCTTTCAAAATCGTATGTTAATACTTGTGTTACATTAAAATATGAATACAATCATATTTCGTCGTTTTTTTTGGTATACAATTTTTCTCAAGTGACTCAGATTCAAAATTCCGGTTTTGTTTGAGAACATAAAAATCAGGTTGTCTTAAATAGTCCATCACCAAAATGGAAGAGAGTAAAATAATGCATTGTACGCTACTGTTAATGTGGTGTGCCTTTTACAACAGTGCGATTCGCGCGGTAGTATACAAAGACATACTGGATGCATTATAATACTCTCTTCCATTTCGGTACCAAAGTATAGTAGCGCTGACTACTGACTCGTTTCAGGCTTGTGCGATGATCTAAATTTGAAATCCTTCAATTTTGCCGTATAACAGTTTGAGGAGAATACGCCTGAGCGTCCGCAGGATGGCGCCAGGGGGCCGTGAATAAGGTTGGCTGTCAAAATTTGCATATTTAGCATTGGTTTGTGTACAAGATTATGCCCCTCTGATAAAATTTCCTAGCCCTGCTAATCAAAAAGTTTAAAAGGAATATACACTTCCATAATATACAACAGTTGCCTCTTGCCAATGTCCTATCGGACCCCTTGCAAAAAGTTCTTGCGGGCTCGCCAAATATTATTGTCGCAATTTCGAGGGTTTATAGCACTTAACAAATTTTCTGATATTCTCGTTTTTTACATGAACTCTCAATATAATAACGTGATGATTCCGACATAAAGCTACAAGAAACTTCATGTTGTGCTTTTCTGTGTATCATTATCATATTTAACGATGGTTAAATCATGTAATCTTCATGAAAAATTGTATACTGCAAAACCAATCAATGTGAGTCTAAGAGCTGTATCGCCAGTTGTTTCTACAATTGCAGGACGCCTTTATGGCCTCCTCGATTTTCGTAGTATTTTTTCTCCTTCACTTCAGAAAGGCTGGTGTCAGCGTCAGCGCTCTCCTATTGTAAGGCTATACTGTCTTTTTCAATTGTAAGACATTTCAGGCCGATATAACAGATGATATAAACCAAAAGCATGAACAATTTGATGCAAATAGATATTTGCAACATAACCTCAAAATAGAGGGCTGAAACACACCGCAAAGTAGAAAACTATGAAAATCAAGGAGTCCAAAAAGGCGTCCTAGAATTGTAGGAACGATTGACGATACCGCCCTAAATGTATGAAAAATAAATTACTACAATACATACGTATTTTTTTAAGGCCCTCGGTACCCATCGATACCTTATGTAGAGTCGATCTTCTTAATAAGTGCGAATTAAGTTCGCTACTTATTAAGCTCTAAATGTACTGTAAGCAGGGCGGGTTTCAGATGTTTACGCATCTTGGGGCAAAGGATAAAAAATGCGCCTGCCGCCCATGCTGTGGGGTGATTTATGGTATACTCATCAAAGTTGTAATTTAGGCAGAACCAATATCTTACTTCGATTATGTGTTGCATAAAACACACTACTCATTTAACAAAATAGGTGGTTGGGCTGTAGCTAGTGTTGCCAGGTCCGATGTGTTACAAATAGGGATTTAGGGCTGTAGATCGGGACAAACAAAAAACAAGGTATTATGTATTAATAATAGATATTAACACGGTTTATAAGTTTAAATAATTTATTTTTTAATAAAACTATATTTTTCGTTACATATTGCTGCCTTAAGGATGGCCTTGTTTTATATAACATATGTAGTTATAAAACTCACTACATGTCCTATTAAGGTTGGATTTAATTTGAATTTCGGCCTTAACATGCTCAAGTATCAATCGGCTTCGCTTCTCAGACCAAATTAAGTTTACTTGAGAAAACACCCTTTCCGTTGCTGCGTTTGATACAGGTATTGAAACCATAAAAGGAAATAGCTTTTGAAGGTATGCAAAGTCTTGGTTGTCCTTAAAAATGTTATGCCATTTTTTTAGCGGTGTCAAGTCTTTGTTTTGCACTGCTGCCTTCACTACTTCTTTAACTTTATAGACTTCTTCATAAAGTTGATCCATGCCAAAGAACGTATCAGTTATGTACAATAATTGAGCTCATACTTAGTTCCTATGTAATGTAAAACATTTTTGTACCACGCACAACAGTCTTTTTTTACTTTTTTAACTTTATCTTCTGACAACTTTTTCAATAAGTTGCTGCACGTGAAGCCCACAAATTCATCTTGAATCCTCTGTCTTATTTTTTTACCGATTTCAACCATTATCTCGTGGCCTTCGAAACACAGCAATGTTTCCTTTTCAAGACATACTACTGCATCTTGTAAGACTTTCAGTGCATTTAGGTAAAATGCCAGATAAGGCTCCGTTTCCTCAGATTTTACCACAGCGCAGTTGGACATTCGTCTTCTCCCAATGATATAAAGTAATCTTTCAGTATATCGAATGATTTGGTAGCACGTTCCACGGCAGGGAGAAGTGATAACCATCTTGTCCTAATATGTCTCAAGGCGGGAGCAAATTCAGCTTCATGCATCTCATAAAAGCCTTTTAAAGCGTCAACTCGTTTTGCATGGTAGGATAAATGGTTATGCAGCTTCAGAATGAAGCTTTCTAATTCAAACTGACTCTTGCCAAGGCCATACTTCACACTGTTGTGCAAGATGTGCGCAGGACATCCCACTGATAAAATATAGCGCGTTGCAATAATTGGTAAACTGAATTGCGACACCCAAAGTTTACATTTGCATTTTCTGCACAGTTACTGAATTCATATGGATGGCTGATGCAGTTTCATTTGCGTCTTCATATAAGTCAAGTACACATGTTTTTAAATTAGTAGAGGGGCTGTAAAATCTCTCTCTAAAAACATTTTTGTGGCACCGTGATTGGAGGCATCAATAGCAATACTATAAAATGTTTTATTATGCTAAGTTTCAATGGCCTCTTGAGTCGAGGCTGGACCTAAAACGTTATGTGCAATTGCACTTGCCTTTGTTCGTCCAAGTGCAAGTGTTTCAGCAATTTTTGAATCACCATACAAAGTATGATCTAGGATTTTATCACATTCGCAACTCGAAAAGTAGAAAAATGGAGTTATCTTCTTTTTGCAGTAAGCTGACGGTATAACAATAAATGGAAATGACTTAGTCTAAGCAACAATTTTTCTTCATTTCCTTTTATGATTTTTCTGGTCTTTCAAACTTACATTCAGTTCTTTGATCCGGAAGAACATCCTTGACCTGAAAAATATTTTTTTAGCTTTTTCAGGGCAGTCGATGTTGCTATAAAATTTTGCTTTTCTGAAACTATTATGTCCCCATTGAATTTAGTAAACACCTTGTTCTTTTCTTTCAACTTGATTCATGAAAGCTGTGGAAGGTTTTGATAACCCACCCTCACTAAGATGGTCTATCCAGGAATAAGTTTTTTTTTTGAGAAATTTTTCAACCTCTTATTATGCAATTTATGGCAAACAAAGCTGGCCAAATTTTCCAGCTCGTCATACTCGAGCTCATCTATTTCTTCCACTACAACTTCCTGGTTATAGTCAGCTGATACTTCAGATGCATTCAGTTTATTCGTTAATGATGCGGTTAGTGGAATGTCTGGAGTATCCTCTGACTCTACTCTGCAATACTCTGAGTATGAACCTTCTTTTCGCCCCAAAATGTATGACCTTATTCTATACTTAAACTCTAGGGGACTTGGATGGTCATGGATACCACCTTTTGCCCTAATTACTCCGAAAACGTTTTCTATCATATCTTGATTAGGACGTCTTGTTAACAGGTATTGGACGCTGAAGCGTAGATGTAGAAGGTCCAGGTGATGATAGAGACTTGGGTTAATTTTCCGTAGGAATGGCATCATCTTTTAGAGCACGATATCTTTTAGGGGTGTAACCCAAAAGGGTATGCTTCAAATTAACCTTATAGGCACTTTCACAATAGTGCTTCGAGAAAACTCTAGCCCTTTTTACATTGATTTTGTCTCTTATTTTTGCAATGATTCCGTTTAGATTGGTTGTCGGAAGTACATCCCACAATAGCATCCCGCATTTTTATTAATTTATCAACCCACACATGGTATATAAAGTATGTAACTAATACAACAAGTCACAAAACCACCAAAAATCACCAACAAATCGCACTATATACGATACGACAATCCTGCCGCTGGTAACCACGAGCCAACAGCTCTCAAGGTGACGTCACGAAGCTCCGCCCACATGCGCAACATCCTATCTTCAGTGTATGTGTATCGTGAATGTTCTATACTTCTCGAGTAACGAATTAATTCCTAACAAATACTAAAGATGTTGAAACACCAATAAAATATACCGGAACACGGTCTACTGGGAACGAATTTATTGCAATGCGCATGTGCGTTTGGTTATGAACACGTTCCCTGTCTGTGCTGAAACAAACCTAATGCTTTCAGGAATCGTGATATAGTGCGGTGAAACGGTGTTGAAAAACTACTAAAATCTTGTTGCCTGTTCTAAAATAAAGTAATAAGGTGATTGTGCCAGTAACCGAACAGTTTAGACAAAAATGGAATTGCGGTGTACTTACGAATTTTGTGTCCAAGATAACTAAGCTAATGTTTTTGGAGGTGATCATATTGTTGTTAACTTTTCGCCGACAACAAATACACTGCTTATAGATATTCCTGTAATTTTATCGAAAAATATTAACAGAAAAGGTGCTATTTTGCCAATACTCGGACAGAAGGTGCTACTAGTCGGACAGCTAGTTGCCAATTGTCGGACAGCATTTGATTGGCTGGTTTTAAACAGAACTGTATTTAAATAATTTATAATATTATAATAGAAATTTCAAATCAGTTATGTTATTAAGACTTTGAGGAAAAGGAATTAAGCACTCTCATACTGATCATTCTTTTGGATTTACAAACTACATAAAAACGAACAGGAAACTAATTTTTTCCTTTAATCCGGCCCTACACTGTCGACTTTGAACTGCCATCCGTTTACATATTCCAGGCCAACCAACCAACCCAACATTTCTTACAGATTCGACAGTCTCCTTTAACCTGCCTTCACTATATTTTCGTATTTTTTGGTGTCTATTTCCGAATGAAGTGAAATTGGGAAATTTAATTCCTTAAGGATATTTTCGCGAATCCACCATGTAGCACAGTGCAGTACTGGGAACTGATACTAAAATTTTCACGAAGAACGGGATTGGGGGAAGGTGGATGTGACGTCATCAAAATGTCAAAAAATCACGTGGTATGGGTAACCGCCTAACGTCGGTGAGGTACTAGCGGGTGACAGGTCTTCAGTCAATGTCATTTAAAAATAAGACATCTCAATTGAAAATTTGTCTCCGCAGTGCCGAAAGTTGAGTTGAGTTATTGAATCATAAATGGAGGAACACATCCATCTGATTTTAAATGACGAGGCAGAAGGTCATCGAAGATGTAGGAACCGGACTTGTCATATCAAATGGTTGATTTTATTGATATATTTGTACATTGCACAAAAAACGATCGGTCTGTTTATTTATGATTCAAAGAAGGCAGCTAAGTTTATCAAGGAGCTTAAAGCAAACATTTTGCGCAACATGCGCCCTCTAATCACTCCCGGTGTAACTTGAAACTGTCAAAACTAGGGGAAATTTCATCTGTTCCCGCTCCGTTCACTACGGGATCTCGCGAAAAAATCTCTATAGCCTGGTGAAATAATGGCGGGAAAATGGGAGTGGCCGTTTATTGGGACGCTATGAAATTTCGTTCACTTTAATAGTCGGACACAATATCACTGGTCACAATCTACATTATTTGTTATCTTTCGCTGTCCATCCATGGCTTGGGCTTTAGTCATATTTTTTTTATTTAATACCAAGCGAGATAGTCTCTATGGTTAGATAGAAAAAGATAGATTGATAATATCCACGCCATTATGATGAGCCGGCGAGCGTCACACCAATTTGACTTAAAAATATTAAAGTAACATTTTGAGATTAACTTTTCTCATAAATTTTGAATGTATTCAAATTTGGTTATATTACAGTGATAATAGTTAGAATCAGTTGTTTGGATGCTTGGCAACGTACTCTTCAGAAAACGAATTTTTAAGGTTTGGCATCATTGGCTGTAAATATCTTTTTCAAGGGATTTTTGTAAGTAACCTTGCTGTTTTCGATTTTTCACGGTGGAAAGATACAGTGTATTTCTATTCACTCCGTGTTTGTATTCACCCCGAGCATCTAAAAATATGTGTTTTGTTTCTTG